GACAGAGCAAGGTGAAAACGTCTTCATTCAATTCCCTACAGTTATAACAGATAGTGAAATTAGTGTCAGGCGAGAAGAATTAACTAACCTTTCTCTCTCATCTAGTAAAGAAATAATTTCCTCCATCCATTCATCCTTAGATACCTTCAAGTTTTACTTTTAATATTTCTATTATATTTATAGTCCTGTTACTTCTTTGTTTTACTCTCACAATTGCAAACACCAACTTACCTCCATGACGGCTGTAATCTTTGTTTTTCCCCTCACCATATCATGTAAAGAGAACATTATATTCAATATTTTTAAACATGTTAGGATTTCTATACCACATTGCAAATACTGTCAATACAATTAGTTCCCTTTATGAATTTAGAAAAAGCAATAAGAAGACGTATTTACCAATTTGAATGTATGTGTGGGCACACATACATACAGAGGTGGGAGGACTAATCAATCTCTGTGAGTAAGGGCCGACCGAAAGCTGCTACCTTGACGTGGTGGTCGGGCTTGAACACCGCAATGACCTAATCAAGCTATACTGGCTGAGACTTATGTCTCTTGAGGTTCTACCATGCCAGGCAGGTTGTTTGGATAGCGGTTAAACAAAAAGCAGCTACCCATCCAATATCATGATCAAAACAAATTCACAAAATTTCATGCCGGATCGGCCGTGGCCCGGATTAACAACGACCGCGCTTCCTGCTGCCGTGTCACAGGGCAGGAGTGATAAATATGCTACTGAGGCACACAAAACAACAAAGAACGAACAAAAACAGGCCGCGTGTGACCGGCCACAAGCAGTTGTCCCCTGGGCTCTGCGGTCACGCAACCAACTTCCACGGTGTGGGCAGCCGGGAAGTAACAATCGCCCTCACAATCCAAAACGCACACAAAACCTCTCTAATCCTCACTTATCTTTGTCTTCATCTTCATCTCTATTACCTTGCCTTCCCCCAGTGATGCAACTCCTCTACTTGATGGCTCCTCACTCCCTCTTCACTCTGTGTCCACTAAAAACGACGAAAGCCAAAAAACCACCACGGATAGTCTCCTAAAGCCACGCCACCAATTTCATATAGGAGCATTTAATGTTAGGACACTTTGCCAAATAGGACAACAAGCATCACTAGCTAAGACCCTGGCATCTCGAGCCATTGATGTATGTTGTGTTTCAGAAACACGCATACAAGACCCAAGTGTGGTTATTCACCTAACCCCACCTGGCCAACAGGATGAATCTTCAAAATTCACCTTGAGGGTGTCAGGAGATGCCACAGCTAGTTCACGAGGATTAGCTGGCGTAGGGATAGCTTGAGTACTAGGGCAGAAAAGACATTGCTTGACTGGATCCCGGTAGATAGCCGAATGTGTGCTGTCCGTCTGAACGGATCAGTAAGAAGGAGAAAGGACTGCACTACTCGCCGATGCCTTTTCGTAATCTCCGCCTACGCCCCCACTGACTGCAGTTCGGATGAAACGAAGGATGAGTTCTACCAAAAGCTGTCTAGTTTGGTGAGAAAGGCTAAACGCTCAGATATAGTCGTTCTAGCTGGTGACTTTAACGCTCAAGTAGGGAAATTGTGTCAATCTGAGAAGGATGTCGGTGGCACCTATGGAGTTCCGTGCCAGCGAACCGACAACGGTGACCGTCTCCTACAGTTCTGTTCAGATAATCATTTGTTTCTTGTAAGCACTAACTTTAAACACAAGGAGAGACACTGTTTAACCTGGCGACCCCCATCATCAAACCAACGCTGGACACAAATAGACCACATAGCAATAAGCTATCGTTGGCGTGGGTCGGTAGGAGATTGTCGCTCCTTCTGGAACACGTGTGTAGATACCGATCACGCACTGGTCCGGGCTCGTGTGTGCTTACGACTGAACGGACGTAGGAAACAGCTGGCGGTAAAACCATCACGTCCCCAGCTCGATCAGGAAACTAAATCCCTATTTGAGGAAGAACTAGCTAAACGCATATCTGAATTCGACAGCTGTGCTCACCCTGGAGAAGCCTGGAAGAATATTCAGTCAGCTATAGATACAGCTGTAAAAGCTGTGAATAAGACAAATCCAAAGGTGAGTAAAAACCACTGGATTTCGACTGCCTCATCCGAACTGATAGATGCTAGAAGACTTATTCCGGCGAGCTCCGAATTCAATGAGGAGCGAAAGCTGCACAAAAGGAAACTTACTAAAAGTCTCCGCAAGGACCGTGAACAGTGGTGGGTGACAAAGGCGAAAGAGATGGAAAAAGCATTGGCGATAGGCAACACTAGGCAACTCTTTAGACTCATCACAGAATCGGGCGGGAGAAGGCAATTCATAAGTGAGACTATTTCTGAGAAAAATGGCTCCTTAATTAGCTCTCAGGATAGACGCCTTGAACGCTGGAAAGAACACTTTGAGGAACAATTTAACTTGCCTACAGCCACACTGAACCTCCCCGCCATCCACCACGTACCCGAATGGGATATAGACACTGGTCCGCCGTCTGTAGGTGAGGTTACAAAAGCTATCAGTAATTTGAAACGAGGCAAAGCGGCAGGACCCGACGGAATTATTCCGGAGGTGTTTAAATATGGGGGTGACATACTAGTTTGTAGATTAACTGAGGTACTAGGCAAAGTCTGGGAATCAGAGACAGTACCATCAGACTGGGGTAAGTCACTTATTATACCGATATTCAAGAAGGGAAACAAGTCCTCGTGTGATAATCATAGGGGGATCAGCCTAACGAACATAGTCTCTAAAATCCTAGGCTCAGTAATCATGCATAGACTAAGCAGAACTCGGGAGGAACAGACAAGGGAAAATCAAGCAGGCTTTAGACCAGGTAGAGGGTGCATAGATCATATCTTCACTCTTCGACAGATTCTAGAACATAGACACACTTTTCGGCGTCCAACAATTGTCATATTTCTTGACTTGAAGGCGGCCTTCGACTCCGTGGATCGAAAGGTACTATGGCAATGTCTGACTGTGAAGGGAGTGCCAAGAAAGTACATTGCACTAATCAAGGCACTCTATTCAAACTCACGTAGTCGTGTAAGGGCTTATGGGGAATTGTCATCTGAATTGGTAACAACCAGTGGTGTCCGACAGGGATGTCCACTTTCCCCATTTCTGTTTAACTTCATCATAGATATGCTAATGGAAGTATCCTTAACTGAACGTAGTGACTTAGGAATCGACTTGTTACCAGGGAATAATCTTATGGACTTAGAATATGCAGATGACATAGTCCTGTTAGGGGAGGATGCTGACAAAATGCAGAGTCTTCTGAACACCTTGAGCAGCAATCTTCGTATGTTTGGCATGCGATTCGCCCCTGCAAAATGTAAGATGCTGCTACAGGACTGGACCACGTCAACCCCTAACTTAGTGATAGGGAGTGAAGTGATAGAACATGTTGACCACTTCACCTACTTGGGAAGTTGTATTAGCACCAACGGACTGATTGGCGATGAAATCTCAGCACGGATCCGAAAAGCTCGAGCTGCTTTCGCTGACTTACACCATCTCTGGCGTAGGCGTGACATCCGGTTATCAACCAAGGGACGTGTGTACTGCTCATCAGTTCGCTCCGTCCTTCTCTATGGCTCTGAAACATGGCCAATACGCGTTGAAGACATGAAAAGGTTGACTGCTTTCGATCATAGATGTCTGCGATCTCTGTCTCACGTTAGGTGGTTTCACAAGATAAGTAATGTTGACGTTAGGCGTAGAGTGTTGGGCAAAGAGGGAAAATCAATCGACGAGGCTATAAAGTTACATAGACTAAGATGGCTAGGTCACGTGCTGCGCATGCCTAACCACCGCCTCCGCCGACGGGCATTGCTAGCTGATATAGGTTCAGGTTGGAAAAGAGCCAGTGGTGGCCAAACAAAAACATGGCATCAATCCATGAAATCCTTGACAGTTAAACTGAGTCAGGTAGGGAGATGCAGACTCCCGGGTTGGGGCCCTCGGGACTCTAGGAATCAATGGCTGGAGACAATAGGTGACATGGCTCAAAATCGTTGTCAATGGCGCAGATGTATTCAGTCTCTGTAATCTTTCATATTCCTTTCTACCATTACCCATTCTGTTTCACTCTTATACTTGTCAAACTCTATTAATTCTCTTCACTCATCTTCTTGTCTACCTCTGTGGGCTATTTGGAACGTGGCAACTCGAACTGGTGCACTTTGGTGTGAAGTTCTATGTTGAATCCAGACAGACAGACAGAGTAAGGGCTGGCTTCAGAAACAAATAGAATCTTTAAGACCCATTCAGGCTGAGAACAGGAGACCTAGCTCCTCTATTGAGAAACATGTTACAGAGTAGACAGGACATAAAATTGACGTTAACACATCTTTTAAATCTATCTATCTATCTATAAAACATGTTTAGGGGCGTATCCTAAAGTTTGTGGAAGCCCTAACTGGCTATTAGGAAGTTTGAACCACCTTTATGCGTTCAAAGCAACAATTCGTCATCACGCTAAACGACCACCACTGTATTTTGATACATACCAGGGTAGATGTCATTCGTATACATTCCTATGACAAGTCCGTGTGTGCTGGATCAGATTGTGCGAAATGTGTTGCGCAAGTACATACAATACATGAATCAGACAAATTACGTCATCTTATTGCTTTATCTATATATACATATATTACTACATTCAGAAATGAGTTGCGTTCACTGTGTGAATACTGAACACACCATCTAATAGCTTAAATTTTAGCAGATGATTGAATCAGATATGACATGACCTACTAGGGTGAGGAGTCAACTACCTCCGCTAGAACACCGATACTCGTATTTTTCACACTTCTTGCGTTTTAAGGGATAAAATTATCCTGCCCAGTCACTCGAGTTAAAATAAGCAGACGGGGTGGGTGGGGATTTAGACATGTAACTTACTGGTCGACAACACAGTCAAGCGCGCTAAAGGTAAACCACTAAACTTCTCAATGATATTAAAAGAAAAACAAAACGAAACAGCTACTCACTTGTGTATCTAAACGTGTATCATATCGCCAGCGTTCTAACCGAGCCAAATACTCCTTTTTCGATTCTTCAAGTGCAAGACGTTGAGCCAAGCCCCGAGGACCATAAGTAGTATGTGTTAAATTGCTTGCGGCGGCTGTGGTTAATGCAGATGGTTTTGTCGGTCGTTTTGTGTGAACTTGCTCATACCAGTCTGCAAATGCCTCCTTCAAGAAAAAAGACAACAACAAAAATGCTAAACAAGAGACTGAATAATAAGATATAAGACTTAACGAAGGTGAAGGCCTTCCCGATGTTTCATGACCTCTCTCTCGAAGAGATCTATTTAAAGATATTCACGAAACGGACAGATGCTTACACGAAAAGGAAAGAACTAGTGCAAAAAGTCTAGTGGATATCATCGAATGGATATTGATACTTCGGGTACCTGACACAGAAAGAGGGTTAGTGTTAGATATTATAGAGAAGATTTGTAGCTCAGGTGGATGATTTTGATGTGGTTTTGTTCTCTGAGCTGGATGGTTAGTTTGCGAAGCTTTCATCACCTTACTGGGTGACATCTTCAGCGCATACTTCAATTTGAAGTGAGCTTTTAGATTTCTCCACGAGTTTATTAATTATCTCTCCTGGTGACCTTGGACGTGATTGGTTGTTTGTGTGTGTTTTCACACCTTCTAGGTTACTTGTATTGGAACCGGTTGTTTCTTTGACTTGAATTTTGACCCTTTGTCTGTGAAGTTTCTTTCTTATTGGTTGATAAATTTTGTCTATGTCGATGTGTCTATTGATTGATGATCCACTGGAATGCCAAGCTTCTAAAAATTCTCTAGCATTCTTGTTATTTCCTTTGTCTAATATTTGAATGTTGTCCCAGTCGAATTGATGTCCGTAGTTGTCTGTGTGTAGTGAAATGAGGGAGTGGATATCATGTCTTTTGACGGCTAGCTTATGTTCGTGGATACGAAGACGAAGGGGACGTCCACTTTGGCCGATGTAGTGTTTTTCGCAGTTGTTACAGTTTATTTTGTAGATGATGTTGGTTTTATCTTCTTTCGCTGTTGAGTCTTTTGGTTGACATAGAATTGAGTGAAGCGACTTTGTTGGTTTGTGTACGACGTCAACTCCTAAAGGTTTGAAGAGTCTTGTAGTGATTTCTGAGATATCTTTTATATATGGTAAGGCAATTTTCTTTGTGTTCTCCTTGGTGGCTTTTGCTTTGGTAGGTTGGCTTGGGGGTATATGTCTCTTGATGAAATTCCGTGGATATCCATTCTTTTGGAAGACGTCCATGAGATACTTTTCTTCAATTTTTCTTAAGGTGGGAGTGCTGCAGTGAGTCCTTGCCCTCTTGAATAGTGTTTGTATGCAATTCCTTTTGTGTGTTATTGGGTTGTTGCTGTTGTAATTCAGTATTTGGTCTGTGTGAGTTGATTTCCTATAAACTTGAGTTTCTAATTCTCCTGTAGTTGTTCGCCTGACTAAGACGTCCAAAAATGGTATTTTGTTCTCGGATTCCTCTTCTCTTGTGAATTTGATGTCGTTGAAGACGTTGTTTATTAAGTTGTGAGTTTTATCTAATTCGTTTCTTTTGATGATTACAAATGTGTCGTCGACGTAGCGTATCCAAATCTTGGGTTTGATCTTTGGTAGAATTATATTTTCGAGTCTTTGCATCACTGCTTCTGCAATCAAACCTGATATTGGTGATCCCATGGGTGTTCCTTTGACTTGTTCATATATTTGGCCGTTGAATTGGAAGTATGTTGTTAGGCATAGATTTATGCATTCCATCCAGCTTGTGTGTTGCATTTTTGATTGTTGTGACAGTTGTTCGTCGCTGCTAAGTAGTTGCTCCATGGTTTCTTTTGCTAGGTTTTGTCCGATGGATGTATATAATGCTGTCACGTCGAATGATACCATTATTTCTTGTTCATCTATTTGGATGCCTCTGATTTTCTCTAGGAATTGGATAGCAGAGTTGATGGAGTGATCGCAAGATTCCGTTAGGTGTTTTAGTTTTCTGTATAATTCTGAATTTCTGAATTACAACAGCAACAACCCAATAACACACAAAAGGAATTGCATACAAACACTATTCAAGAGGGCAAGGACTCACTGCAGCACTCCCACCTTAAGAAAAATTGAAGAAAAGTATCTCATGGACGTCTTCCAAAAGAATGGATATCCACGGAATTTCATCAAGAGACATATACCCCCAAGCCAACCTACCAAAGCAAAAGCCACCAAGGAGAACACAAAGAAAATTGCCTTACCATATATAAAAGATATCTCAGAAATCACTACAAGACTCTTCAAACCTTTAGGAGTTGACGTCGTACACAAACCAACAAAGTCGCTTCACTCAATTCTATGTCAACCAAAAGACTCAACAGCGAAAGAAGATAAAACCAACATCATCTACAAAATAAACTGTAACAACTGCGAAAAACACTACATCGGCCAAAGTGGACGTCCCCTTCGTCTTCGTATCCACGAACATAAGCTAGCCGTCAAAAGACATGATATCCACTCCCTCATTTCACTACACACAGACAACTACGGACATCAATTCGACTGGGACAACATTCAAATATTAGACAAAGGAAATAACAAGAATGCTAGAGAATTTTTAGAAGCTTGGCATTCCAGTGGATCATCAATCAATAGACACATCGACATAGACAAAATTTATCAACCAATAAGAAAGAAACTTCACAGACAAAGGGTCAAAATTCAAGTCAAAGAAACAACCGGTTCCAATACAAGTAACCTAGAAGGTGTGAAAACACACACAAACAACCAATCACGTCCAAGGTCACCAGGAGAGATAATTAATAAACTCGTGGAGAAATCTAAAAGCTCACTTCAAATTGAAGTATGCGCTGAAGATGTCACCCAGTAAGGTGATGAAAGCTTCGCAAACTAACCATCCAGCTCAGAGAACAAAACCACATCAAAAGGGTTAGTGTTACATGACTGCAGTCCAGGGGACAACTGCTTGAGGCCGGCCGGTCACGCATGGGCTGTATCAACTGGTTTCTGGGATTGGTTCCATATTAGTAAACTTACCGCCGGTTACGGACCACCGTACGAGGGGTAGGTCGGAATGTACAATTGTTAGGATCGACCTTTTCTAACCCTGTCTCTCCCTCCAGAGTGGAGACAGCAAAGTTGGCTGATATGCTCGTAGTCTGAGGGAAACTCCTTACTGCTGTTACATCCCTGTTCCCCACAGCAGTAGTATGACTTCGCCCACAGACCCCTAGCATAGTGTAGAAAAGAAAAATTCTTACACTGCACCGGTAACTCCTTTTAGTCTAATCGCTATCCTAACAACCTGACATGGTAGGACCTTCAGAGACATCGGTTCCAGTCAGTGTTGAGTCATCGCAATGTGCAAGCCCGACCACTACATCAAGGTAGCAGCTATCGGTCGGTAGAATCCACCAACAGGAATGCAGAGATCTACGTTGAATGTACAAACAATCAGTACCCAGGCAGGCAGTTACACTTTTCACAGGGAATTCAAAAATAAAAACTCCCTACGCACACACACATACATACAAATTGGCGCAGCGAAGCTGTTATCTACGAGGACTAGCCCACAACACTGTTTCACTATGCGACATATCCAGGAAATAAATGTGAATATGAAACAATGCAGAAATTCATATCCCCTTTGATATTTGAAACCTCACTGGGACGGATATACCCAGCCGTATTATGAGCTACAGTCATTGTGTAAAGGCTGATGATATTATCCAGGTGCCTAGCATTTATGTAATTGGGGCGGGGACTCGAACTAGCCACCTATTAGCTGGAAGTATAGTTTATTTAGGGCAATTAGCCACACACACATTTAAAAAATCAGTGTGGTAGTGTGATATGGAGCAATGTGTGTTCCAACGAAATATTATTCTCACATATTCCCACAGTTCAATAAGGCATTAGCAACAGAATACGAGATGTGTGTATTTGAACATTCTATTTCATGTCGTTTAATGTACACCAAAATCACACGCTCAGTGATTAGTTAACGAATATAAAACTGCATACATATAAATAGCTGTTTGATCACTTGAAAATATACCTTGGCTTCCGTGTCTTGTCTTCTGTTACTACACCAATAGTTAACTAATGAAGTTACTACCTACCAGCTGCTAGGAACATGTACCAGATCAAGTTTGGAGGGATAATCAATAAAAAGCTGATCAGGACAAAAAAAATGACAAGTAAACAGATTACCATGTCTTTCTAATGAATTTGTATACTTTTTTATTGCTTCACGTTTCCAGTGTTGAAACATAGGGCTGCTGCTTCAAGCTAGAGAGAGAGAGTCTTGAAGTTCCGGAAGCAGGAGTGTTTAGTTTTACGGAATTGGGTTGCTGGTAGCCTCATGCTCAACTTTCAATCTTTACTAGTATTATTACTGACTTAGCGAGGTAAAGGAGTGCGTCCGTGGTCGGGGATTGAACCTCGGACCCCTTGCGTGGTATACTGGGGGATAATACGAGATATACGATACGATATGTAGTCATCCAATCTGTCTATTTCAAGACTAACATATTTCCCATGGTTATTACTTCATATTTTGAATATAAATGTTTATTGGAATGCAATGAGAGTAAGTAAGCACGTTCTCGGTGTAGCTGTATTCCCTGAGTTGATTAGTTCAACTACGAACGTTTCATTGTCTTTCTGGATGACCTTTTCAGCGCAGAATCATTCATAAACACACGAGAATGTCAACAAGCCAAGCACCGTGAAATTAACAGGCTAGAATGTTACCATTCAGCACATGAACCAGCATCCAATGGCAATATAGACTAAAACGACAATGTAAGCTTGACTATCCAGGTGAACAAAACTGACCACATCAAAATCATTGACCTCAGTTACAAATTTTCCCTATAACTTCAAGTTTATCTGTCTGTCTGTCTGTCTGTTTTCAACGTAGATCTTTGCACCGATATGTGCAGAAGTTCAAGTTGCCACACTCCCCTCCTTGTACCACATAAACCAACAGAAGAAAGTCGAAGAAATGCATAATAGAGACAGTTAACAACGTTATGAGACAAAAAGAATAGTAATAACGAAGAACAATATAATTTCATTGGAAATCATTAGCCACAAGGAGTGGATGTATCTGCGCCAGCCACCATAGAGAACGATTTTGAGCCATATCACCCACGGATTGTCACCAGCCATTGGTGTTTACCGTCCCGAAGTCCCCAACTAGTCAGGAAGTCTACACCTTCCTACGTAGCTTGGTTGGCTTAAACTAACTGTTGTGGATTTCATTGACTGATGAAGATCTGTTTTGGTTTGACCGCCACTAGCTAGCTCTTTTCCAGCCTGATCCTATGTCAGCTAACATTACCCGTCGAGATAGGCGATGACTTAGTTACCATGCGTAACACATGTCCTAACCATCTCAACCGATGTAGCTTCACAGACTCGTCGATTGATTTATCTCCCCTTACCTAGCCTATAGCTCGACCAACGACTAACCTCAATACTGCTCACTCTATTACACCTATCACTTAACACGGGAGATAGAACTCAGGCACCTAAAAATCAAAGACAGGCAACTAGCCAGGGTTTTCATGTCCACCACCCTCAATGGCTATCACTTACTACGCATAAAAATTACTTCAAATTTATACCTACCTAGTAAGCAGAGTGATACAATTAACTGTCAGCATACATTTCACATATAAACATATCAGTTGCGAGTGAGAAATCACATATACAAGAGGTGATCAAAAAAAACCAACTTACTCGACCTTCTAAATACAAGACATAACATTCAAATTCACGAATTGTATTGACAAGTGAGGCTGGAGAGCCTGATTTTTCACAAATCACTTTCGCTTGCTCTAATGTCCCAGTGGGTAGTTTGGAGATAACCTTTTTTGTAAAAAATAAATAAAACAATGAGAAAATATAAAAAGGCGTTATGAGTACAGACTAAGTGTGTATTGATATAAGTATAAGACTTGGGTACTGTGATGGTAAAGTACAACTCATTCACACAGTGTTTGTTGTACAGGGAAATTTATTGATGAGAACGTTTTGAGAACAAATTATTATTGCTCATAATCATATCAAGTCACTCACACAACATTTTTTCCTTCATTTATAGACATGAGTGAAAATTGATGCGATTAGACATTTGAACAAAAAATCAAAATTGTAAGATAATGTACATTCGGAAATAATACTATTAGTGTTGTTATTAGATGGTTGGAGGTAATCGGCCACAGGAAGCCTTGAACCTAGGTTTCGTGCTAGTTGACACTCCACTAGTCAGCAAGACGTATCTGCAACTTTTAAGGAACTCATGTCCCTTCTGAGATTCGAACCCCCGTCACCCAATGCTGGCAGTAAGAGACGTTACCATTGAGCTAACTATTTGGATGATGTGATGTGTCAAGTTACTAGTGTCAAATGAAAATATCTATTACCCGACCGAAAGCTGCTACCTTGACGTGGTGGTCGGGCTTGAACACCGCAATGACCTAATCAAGCTATACTGGCTGAGACTTATGTCTCTTGAGGTTCTACCATGCCAGGCAGGTTGTTTGGATAGCGGTTAAACAAAAAGCAGCTACCTCATCCAATACCATGATCCAAACAAATTCACAAAATTTCATGCCGGATCGGCCGTGGCCCGGATTAACAACGACCGCGCTTCCTGCTGCCGTGTCACAGGGCGGGAGTGATAAGTATGCTACTGAGGCACACAAAACAACGAAGAACGAACAAAAACAGGCCGCGTGTGACCGGCCACAAGCAGTTGTCCCCTGGGCTCTGCGGTCACGCAACCAACTTCCACGGTGTGGGCAGCCGGGAAGTAACAATCGCCCTCACAATCCAAAACGCACACAAAACCTCTCTAATCCTCACTTATCTTTGTCTTCATCTTCATCTCTATTCCCCCCAGTGATGCAACTCCTCTACTTGATGGCTCCTCACTCCCTCTTCACTCTGTGTCCACTAAAAACGACGAAAGCCAAAAAACCACCACGGATAGTCTCCTAAAGCCACGCCACCAATTTCATATAGGAGCATTTAATGTAAGGACACTTTGCCAAATAGGACAACAAGCATCACTAGCTAAGACCCTGGCATCTCGAGCCATTGATGTATGTTGTGTTTCAGAAACACGCATACAAGACCCAAGTGTGGTTATTCACCTAACCCCACCTGGCCAACAGGATGAATCTTCAAAATTCACCTTGAGGGTGTCAGGAGATGCCACAGCTAGTTCACGGGGATTAGCTGGCGTAGGGATAGCTCTGAGTACTAGGGCAGAAAAGACATTGCTTGACTGGATCCCAGTAGATAGCCGAATGTGTGCTGTCCGTCTGAACGGATCAGTAAGAAGGAGAAAGGACTGCACTACTCGCCGATGCCTTTTCGTAATCTCCGCCTACGCCCCCACTGACTGCAGTTCGGATGAAACGAAGGATGAGTTCTACCAAAAGCTGTCTAGTTTGGTGAGAAAGGCTAAACGCTCAGATATAGTCGTTCTAGCTGGTGACTTCAACGCTCAAGTAGGGAAATTGTGTCAATCTGAGAAGGATGTCGGTGGCACCTATGGAGTTCCGTGCCAGCGAACCGACAACGGTGACCGTCTCCTACAGTTCTGTTCAGATAATCATTTGTTTCTTGTAAGCACTAACTTTAAACACAAGGAGAGACACTGTTTAACCTGGCGACCCCCATCATCAAACCAACGCTGGACACAAATAGACCACATAGCAATAAGCTATCGTTGGCGTGGGTCGGTAGGAGATTGTCGCTCCTTCTGGAACACGTGTGTAGATACCGATCACGCACTGGTCCGGGCTCGTGTGTGCTTACGACTGAACGGACGTAGGAAACAGCTGGCGGTAAAACCATTACGCCCCCAGCTCGATCAGGAAACTAAATCCCTATTTGAGGAAGAACTAGCTAAACGCATATCTGAATCCGACAGCTGTGCTCACCCTGGAGAAGCCTGGAAGAATATTCAGTCAGCTATAGATACAGCTGTAAAAGCTGTGAATAAGACAAATCCAAAGGTGAGTAAAAACCACTGGATTTCGACTGCCTCATCCGAACTGATAGATGCTAGAAGACTTATTCCGGCGAGCTCCGAATTCAATGAGGAGCGAAAGCTGCACAAAAGGAAACTTACTAAAAGTCTCCGCAAGGACCGTGAACAGTGGTGGGTGACAAAGGCGAAAGAGATGGAAAAAGCATTGGCGATAGGCAACACTAGGCAACTCTTTAGACTCATCACAGAATCGGGCGGGAAAAGGCAATTCATAAGTGAGACTATTTCTGAGAAAAATGGCTCCTTAATTAGCTCTCAGGATAGACGCCTTGAACGCTGGAAAGAACACTTTGAGGAACAATTTAACTTGCCTACAGCCACACTGAACCTCCCCGCCATCCACCACGTACCCGAATGGGATATAGACACTGGTCCGCCGTCTGTAGGTGAGGTTACAAAAGCTATCAGTAATTTGAAACGAGGCAAAGCGGCAGGACCCGACGGAATTATTCCGGAGGTGTTTAAATATGGGGGTGACATACTAGTTTGTAGATTAACTGAGGTACTAGGCAAAGTCTGGGAATCAGAGACAGTACCATCAGACTGGGGTAAGTCACTCATTATACCGATATTCAAGAAGGGAAACAAGTCCTCGTGTGATAATCATAGGGGGATCAGCCTAACGAACATAGTCTCTAAAATCCTAGGCTCAGTAATCATGCATAGACTAAGCAGAACTCGGGAGGAACAGACAAGGGAAAATCAAGCAGGCTTTAGACCAGGTAGAGGGTGCATAGATCATATCTTCACTCTTCGACAGATTCTAGAACATAGACACACTTTTCGGCGTCCAACAATTGTCATATTTCTTGACTTGAAGGCGGCCTTCGACTCCGTGGACCGAAAAGTACTATGGCAATGTCTGACTGTGAAGGGAGTGCCAAGAAAGTACATTGCACTAATCAAGGCACTCTATTCAAACTCACGTAGTCGTGTAAGGGCTTATGGGGAATTGTCATCTGAATTGGTAACAACCAGTGGTGTCCGACAGGGATGTCCACTTTCCCCATTTCTGTTTAACTTCATCATAGATATGCTAATGGAAGTATCCTTAACTGAACGTAGTGACTTAGGAATCGACTTGTTACCAGGGAATAATCTAATGGACTTAGAATATGCAGATGACATAGTCCTGTTAGGGGAGGATGCTGACAAAATGCAGAGTCTTCTGAACACCTTGAGCAGCAATCTTCGTATGTTTGGCATGCGATTCGCCCCTGCAAAATGTAAGATGCTGCTACAGGACTGGACGACGTCAACCCCTAACTTAGTGATAGGGAGTGAAGTGATAGAACATGTTGACCACTTCACCTACTTGGGAAGTTGTATTAGCACCAACGGACTGATTGGCGATGAAATCTCAGCACGGATCCGAAAAGCTCGAGCTGCTTTCGCTGACTTACACCATCTCTGGCGTAGGCGTGACATCCGGTTATCAACCAAGGGACGTGTGTACTGCTCATCAGTTCGCTCCGTCCTTCTCTATGGCTCTGAAACATGGCCAATACGCGTTGAAGACATGAAAAGGTTGACTGCTTTCGATCATAGATGTCTGCGATCTCTGTCTCACGTTAGGTGGTTTCACAAGATAAGTAATGTTGACGTTAGGCGTAGAGTGTTGGGCAAAGAGGGAAAATCAATCGACGAGGTTATAAAGTTACATAGACTAAGATGGCTAGGTCACGTGGTGCGCATGCCTAACCACCGCCTCCCCCGACGGGCATTGTTAGCTGATATAGGTTCAGGTTGGAAAAGAGCCAGTGGTGGCCAAACAAAAACATGGCATCAATCCATGAAATCCTTGACAGTTAAACTGAGTCAGGTAGGGAGATGCAGACTCCCGGGTTGGGGCCCTCGGGACTCTAGGAATCAATGGCTGGAGACAATAGGTGACATGGCTCAAAATCGTTGTCAATGGCGCAGATGTATTCAATCTCTGTAATCTTTCATATTCCTTTCTACCATTACCCATTCTGTTTCACTCCTATATTTGTCAAACTCTATTAATTCTCTTCACTCATCTTCTTGTCTACCTCTGTGTGCTATTTGGAACGTGGCAACTCGAACTGCTGCACTTCGGTGCCAAGTTCTATGTTGAATCCAGACAGATTACAGTCCTACAGGAGGTCAATCGCAAGAACAAATAGCTGGCTCAGTGGGAACGTCTCTGACTGCAACACTAACTGGGTGACGCGGGTTCGAATCTTATAAGGGATATGAGTTCCTTCAAGGTTGCAGATACTTCTTGCTGACTGTGACTGGTGAGTGCCAACTAGCACGAAACCTAAATAGTCCAAGGCTTTGTGTGGCCAATAGCCTCCAATAATCTAATGTCATCAAATTAATGTGCACCACGTGATGGCGAGCAACCTAGTGGCCTCATGGCCACATTACAAACTTGGCTGACTGGATAGAATTCAGTCTGCACCAAAGAAAGGACTAGACTAGACACATCACACTAGTTACAAGTGTCAAATCAAAATAGTGTTATTATCATTAGTCAAACCTCTACCTTAACTTCATCGACTTCGAAAACGCCTTCAACAGACAGCGTTGACTGGGAAGTAATTTGGACACTATACACTCCAACACTATGGCGTGCAGAGCCCCGAATCTTTATCAACCTCATTTAACAGCCGGCTATATGACAATGCCACGTGTAAAGTGATGCACAACGAAAAACTGAGTGAAGCGTTCCAAGTGCATACAGGAGTAAGACAAACTGGTTGCCTGCCTATTATCAACGATGGTTATCTTAATAGTGGTCAATTGGATTATGCGAAACACTGTGCACATGGAGCGAATAGTTAGGAATACGCTGGACCACCGATAAGAAAACTCTGGATGATCTGGATTTTCTGTATGGATGATATACGCCTAATTTCACACAAACTCGAAAACTCGCAGACGAAAATCAACAAACTGGCTGAAGAAGCAGGCAGCCAGAGGAGACAAGAATGCAGGTGGGCATAGTCTGTCTGTCTGTCTGTTTTCGACATAGAAGAAGATAACCAACGAACCCAGCAACAGCAACAGCTAGCATAAATCACCTTCAACGGGAGAGATTTAACATGGGTTGCTTCCTTCACTTATCTCATCAGATAGCATCGTTTCAACTACAGGTGGAACGGACGAAGATGTCAAAAACAGCCAGTTAGAAGTGGAAAGGCAAGATACGCCTTCATCAGAGTCGACTGAGAGGTGATTTGGCAACTACTTCGCTAATACAGGGTCCCATTGACAGTTATACATCTCATCCAACAGTTGTACGACAACGCTGCATGCCAAGTAATCCACAACAGGAAACTTACGGAATCCTTCGAAGTGAGGACGGGAATAAGGCGAGACTGGCTACTACTATCGTCAATGATTTTCATGATTGCAGCTAATTGGATAATGCGACAGACAACGGGCCATGAGGAAACAGGCATAAAATGAACTCACACAAAAAACTTGGAGGATCTGGACTTCACCGATGACATATATATGTCTGATTTCCCACAAACTGGAAGATATGCAAGTGAAAAGCAACAAGTTGGCAGAAGAAGCATCAAAGATAGGACTCCAGGTGAACAAAAAGAAAACAGAGGTGATGAAGATGTCCGGCCAACAGTAACAACAACAACAGACAACAATCAGCCAGCATAAATGAGAGGAACCTGAAAGAAACAACCTCCTTTACCTACCTACCTGGGAAGCATCGTTTCAACTTTAGGTGGACGGAACTGACGAGGATATCAAAGCAAAGATCGGAAAAGCAAGACAAGCTTTCATTACTCTCAAGTCTGTATGGAGGTCAACAGCACACAGCATGAAAATGAAGATAATATCCGGATTTCCAATTCCGTTGTGAAGTCAGTGCTACTTATCATACGGATCAGAGGCTTAGCACCGCGTCACGAAAGGCACTTCGAACAAACTAAAGACTTTCATCAACAGCTGTCTTCGCTCAATACTTAAGATCAGATGGACGGACAGAAAAGATCAGCAATAGGGATCTCTGGGAGCGAACCAACCCAGCAGAAACCGACTGTGCAACAAACAGGCAGGAAGAAATAGAGGTGGACTGGAGGCCATATTCTGAGGAAACCATCAAGTGACATCACACGCAAAGCCATCGCTCAAATGGAACCCGAAAGAGAAGTGGCGAGTTGGTCGTCAGTGTGAGGGTGACTTGGAGGAGGTCATGTGAAGAGGAGATGAAAGCATGTGCGTAGACCTGGAGACAGGTGAAAACTTTAGCAGAGAACCAAACGCAATAGAAACGCGCGGCTGAAGCCCTGTGTTCCTCTAGGAATTAAAGGAAAATAATAATAATAATAATACTAATATAAAACATACCTTTTTAGCTGCATTAAGCGAACGAAACGTAATAAAAAGTCTTAAAAGACTATTAGCCACGCATAGAGCTTCTCCGCGTTGTGATGGATTATAAAACAGCCAATCCAGTGAAATAATTCGTTGTTTATCAATATCACTTAATCTTCCAATTTCTCCACCATCATTTTTATTATCAATATCACCATCTAATAATCCTGTGAAGTATTCACTCGACATATTACGTAATGAACTAATTATATGTGCGTATTGTTGTTCCCCTGGTAAATTCATACGTTGTCTTAACAGTTTAACAATAGATCTAGTTAATTTGACTATATCAAATCCATAGGTTACAGCCAATGAAAGACAATGTTCACGTTCAGACGGTTGGATGGTTTCTATAGATAACAGAAAGCAAAGAAAAATCGAAAATTTAAGTGTTGGTTTGTAGGGATTTGACTGATTAGTTACAGGATTTCATCATGAGCTAACATTGGTTAGAGAACCATTGGAAAACCTGCCAGGGAGTAGTGGACAGCTATTTCGTCCCACTCACCCCCAGTCTGGGACTCTTCATCAGTACGCCCCCACCGCCACTGTTAGAACCCAGGACCTTCTGGTTACAATACGAGCTCGTAGACCATTAAAAGCCACTGGGACCCGATCCAATGGCCAGTCCATGAATTCTAACTCCTGCCAATTCACGCGACCCCTAGCCTATGTCTTCGGCAAGTACTTGTCCTCACACTCGACCCGAAAATATAGCAGACACAATAATAAAAAAAGACGTCAGTGGCACACTGGTGGTCCGGCGTTCGAACCCCAGCCACAGACTCACTCCTTTACCTCACTAAGCCAGTAATAAGACAGGTGAAATGGCAAAGTTGGACATGAGGCTAGCGGCAACCCCATCCTGTAAAAAAAAAATAGAAAACCACTGCCACCGAAACTTCAACCCTCTAGCTTGAAGGTGGCCTATGTTCCAATAGGAACGCAAAGGAATAAAAAAAATTAGGTGTTAAACCATTGAGTACAACTGAGGGTTTCTTCTTCTCTTTTTGTATGCCCAACCAACTGATAAGACTGATATGCATCCACATGACGTGTGTTTTCTTTTTGACAGTCTGTTATATTTTGCTATGTGTATATGGATCGATATTCCATAATAACTAACATTATGCTTTTGTCTATCCACTAACTAAATGGACATGTATGACCTTGTTATCACATGACATTACAACCAATCATGGTAAGACGTTATCTTATTGGTTCATGTGTATTAGCCATTTTCAAGTATCATCGTAAACCTGGTGGTCTTCTGATTTCCCTCTTTCCGCGTCAGGACTATTAACTACTGGACGAGTACATAACAAAGAGCAAGGTGGAAATTTATCAAATTGTCAATAATAAAATATTGACTGTCAGTCAGGCAAAATTAATTGAAAAGCATTTCAAACCACTGCGGAGGTCTCCGCCCCCCCCGGCCAATCCTTTTTATGATGCTGTTCATATGTCACATAATTCACAACACATAAAACTTAACGATGCCCATGAAGTGAATATACAGGAGTAAGATAAGGTGCTATCTGACTACTATCATCAATGATATTCCTCACTGCGGGAAGCAAGAAGACAGAAATATGTCGAACAGATATACCAAGACTCTAGAAGATACAGACTTCACGGATGATCTATGTCCAGTGTCACATAAACTTGAAGATCTAGAGAAGAAAACTGGACAAGCTGGCGGAAAAGGCAAGCAGAAAAGAGAAGACTCTTCAAATGAACATAGAAAAAAGACAGGGGTGATGAACACACCTAACCACCACCACCAATAACAACAACAATAATCATCGGCAGTACGCACCCACTGGGATTCGAACCCAGGACCTTCCGGTTACTCGTAAAACATAACTAATCCTTACAAACCAAACTATAGAAAGTTAATCTGATGCTCGCTAGTGACTTGCTACAGGTTGGAGTTTCCTGGGTTCTAGTGAGAAGTCGTGACCAGTGAGGTCCAATTAGATGTCACGTGTGTGGATGGATGTCCCACCAACGACAATGGTTGGGGTCGCGCTAAATCACGAATTGGTAGAAGTTAGAATTCACGAGCCATTGAATCGGGTCCCAGTGACTGAATGGTATACGAGCTTGCCTTGTAACAACAATAATAACAATATGTATCGATTATTACCATCGAGAGAAATTTGAAGGTCGACATTTTCACTTATCTAGAAGGCGTTTGTAAAAAAAAATATATTTGTAAAATCTCAGCGAGACTGAAATGAGTAATTCCAGCAATTCCTGTGTTCGGTAATCTGGTCCGAACTTCTTCAGGGAAATTAACATCGAAATTAACATAACAGAGGTTTATCTATAAAAGGAACATCTTTTGTTTTTAAAAAACTTTGTCCAATCATGATTTATAAAACAAATATTAACAACAAGTATAATAAACAAAATTGTACGAGTTGTGATCAAAATTTCACCTCAGACTTACAAATATTGATCTACCTTTGTTAAACACTTTAAACACAGTGTGTATGTGTATGTGTGTGTGCGGATAAACAGTTGTAAAACAATGTCTTAACGTCTCCATAAGTAGATATAGACAGTCGGGAAACTTTGACCAAGTATTATTAGTTAGTGATACATATCCATTCTTATTTATTAATCAGGATTTCCTATGCATCAGCTAGCATCACACCTCCATGTCTGTTCAGACTGTTAGTATCTAGAATTTTATGATTAGACGTATTTTCAAAATTATGGTGTTTAGGATTAGAGTTTAGTTGAAGCACCCTGTCAAACTTACTACTTTGTCTTCTTTCTGGAGATTGAGCTGCCTAATTCGACCTACTGGAGTTGTCAGGTGACTCAACGGCTATACATTCTGTTGCAGAAATATATAAACCTTTGTTATGTTAATTTCGATTAATTTCCTTGAAGAAGTTCGCACCAGATTGCCGAACACAGGAAACGTTGGAATTACTCATTTCAATCTCGCTGAGATTTTACAAATATAATTTTTTTTACAAATGTCTACTTCTCCCTCGGCACTAAAATATTTTAGAAATATTCTGTCAAATCTTGTCGAGAGTTTATATAAACTAGGAGGCATTGTTTCAACGACAGGCGTAAAAACCACGGGTGACGATGTTAGATCCAGTCAAGATTGAAAAGGCAAGATAGATTTCAATATTCTCATATCAGTGTGGAAATTTACTGAACTAGACATAAATAAAAAGATTCGGATTTTCAACACCTATGTTAAGTAAGTTCTTTTATATAATTGAAAGACTTGACGCGTCACCAAAAGCATTTCGAACAGGCTTTAGATTTTCATCAACAGCTAGCTGCCTTCGACACATACTGAGGACCAGAAGGCTGTCTGGAGAAGATACGCGACAAAATAGTCTGACAACAAAGAGCCTACCAAAAAACACCACTGCTCAACAAATATTCCAAAGAAAACAAAGATAGAATAGACACAGGCTAAAGAAACCATTGAATGACAGCATTGCACTTCAGGTTGTCGAATGGAACTCGAAAGGAAAATGACAAGTTGGGCATGAGTACGAGGGTGACACATAAAGTAGATCATTCATGTGAGGAAGATACAAAATCACATAAATAGTCATGCAGACAGCTTGAAGTAGACGTGAAGAAGACAGAATGAAGAGGGAATGTGCTGTCGAAACCTTATTTTCCGCTCGGAATCCAAGGGAATAATAATAGTAAGACAAGAGGTGTATCTTAAAGCCAGCTCATTAATATTAGCTATCGTTATCAACAGACATTTGAACTCATGGAAAAAATCGGAGAAAGTCATCTTGTCTGACTACTAAGCACCTTCTTTATTCGCAACTCTCCCCTTACATCTACTTAGATGGAACTAAAAGTAATTATAAAAGAGTTTATGTATACACATATACAGAAACTGAACAATACCCTATCCTCAAAGACTAGTTTTTGTAAGGATTCTAGTTGTCTAAGGTTACACCATGGATCGATATTAGTTAGAGAACCACTGAAAACCAGAAAGGAGTACTGGACAGCTGTCTCATCCTAGTCTGAGTATCGTCAGTAGTACGCACCCAATGCCAGGTGCTTCAAGCCCATGAACCTTCAGGTGTGGTGTGTTTACTGGGTGAAGTCCCTGACAGACTCACACCCAACCTTTCCTTCTCCTTACCAGATTCAGTGCCAGAGCTAAGCGAGTTTTAGGCATGGATCGGGCGGGGATCGAACCCTGGCCATGTGTGTGTGTGTGTGAGGGGAGGTTAAGGTTGGTGACATCCTTAATGCACACCCGTAGTCGCTATCACTTAATCATGTGGCTCCCCAACTAATTCTTTGTAAACTCTTTTACACGGCTGTCAACTCGTTCAGAATGCTCCAATTACCATAATACACCTCAGGACTTATTTCAGTCATATAAATACTGTCACAACACCTATTACAATTCAGTAGATTATAAAGTTTGTTCCTGACACTGAAGAAGACCACTCTTCACAAAACCATTACATGCAGCAAAATGATACCATACCTCAGTGGTATACAACCATTATATACTACTAATATTACTAGTAGTATATAATAGTTGTATACTTCGTTTCGCATTTGCCAGTTTACGCCGACTCTGGCGTAAACGAGATGTTCGACTATCGACCAAAGGGCGGGTGTACTGCTCATCAGTCCGCTCCGTCCTCCTTTATGGTTGTGAGACCTGGCCACTGAGAGTGGAAGACATGAAAAGGCTGGTTAGCTGTCTTTGATCATAGGTGCCTGCGTTCTATTTCCCGTGTAAAGTGGCATAATAAGGTGAGCAACATGGAGGTTAGGCGTAGAGTTCTAGGTAAACAGGGGAAATCAATCGACGAAGTCGTGAAGCTACAAAGACTGAGATGGTTAGGACATGTGTTACGTATGCCAAGCCATCGCCTCCCTCGACGAGCTATGTTAGCGGATATAGGGTCAGGCTGGAAAAAGCTAGCGGCGGTCAAACAAAAACTTGGCATCAGTCAATGAAATCCACAACAGTTGGTCTAAGCCACGTAGAAAGGTGTAGACTTCCAGGCTGGGGTCCTCGGGACGGTAAAAATCTATGGTTGGAAACAATTGGTGACATGGCTCAAAATCGTTCTCAGTGGCTATCGCAAATGCATCCACTCCCTGTGACTTATGATCTTCAATGAAACTGTTTTTTCCTTCGTTATTACTCCTTTGTCTCACACCTCTGCTCACTGTTTCTATTATGCTTTTCTTGTACTTGCTTCTCTTGCTTCGCGTGCAACACGGAATGTGGCGACTTGAACTTCCGCACATTTGTGCAAAGTTCTATGTCGGAAACGGACAGACAGACTAATATTACCTGCCACGATTGCCAGAAATAGTATATATATATATATATATATATATATATATATATGAGAAAAAAATGCATAAAAACTGTATAAGAGTGTTACAGAAGGTATCCTACCTTCCTCTCACATGTGATCAAAATAGCTCTTAGTTTTAGATTGGAGTATCAACAGATTATAATTCCATTGTGGGTGAAATTTATTCTCATAAAGTCTCGCAGTGTTATTCAGTAATATTTACTGGGCAATAAACTGTGCTCGAAACGTGGTCATCAGTAAGTATTACTGTATAACACTGTGAAACTTTATCAAAATAAATTTTACCCACAATGGAATTATACAACACCACCACCACAGTGCACAAGTTCTATTCTTATATCAACAGAGTAATTTAACCACATTCTATGCATGTAATTATCTAGGTCTTCTAACCCTAACCTTTCCAGAACCTAACCCTAACGTGAAAATATCCCCAAACTAACAGTAATCTAACTCGAACCAACCCTAATGTCGCCTTTGTTAGGTTAACCTGACCCCAACTTGTCCATAGCTTACATCGTTACCTTAATCTTTCCCAAACCTAAGTTGAAACTGCCTAGACATCTCATTTAATAGCATGGCACTTCGATGAGCATATTTTATTGATGGTGACAATATGATTTGTCAGGTTTCACTGACTCGCTCAGTGAGGGTTTCAAGGTCATTGATGCGGCTGCACTCTCCATTGGTAGTCAGTTAGTGGTGCTCAACGTTTAACTTGACCTAAACACAAACAAAAATCTTACAACAACCTATATTCTAATCGACAACAAACGAAAAAGTGAAGGACGCCATCATCATGACCAACCACCACCACCAACACCTTACACTACTCACCTGCTGAAAACCATGAATACCACTGAATTCGTAATGATTCATTATGCAATGCAGAAGTGTAATAAGCTACTAAATCGGCATTTTTAATGACCATTAGAAAGCACAGATAAGCTTTGATAATTTCGGAACACGCAACATCCTAAAAATAAAACCAACAACATAACCAACAAAGAAGGTGTAAAAAAAGATGGATTTAAATTATATGAATTATTGTGAAAAAAAACAATTAGTGAACTGAACCGGAATACTACTTTTGTCAATTTCCCATTTACACAATTGGTCATGAGATAACATCAGTTAGATAACCACTGGAAAACAAGCAAGGAGGGCACTACTGGACACCTGTTTCGTCCTAGTTCGGAACTCTTCATTAGTACTTACCCAACGATCCAGTTACCAGCCCATGAATTCCAACTTCTGTCAATTCGCGATATTGAGCGACTGGCACTAGCGAATGTCATCGGTGGCGAGTATTTCTCCTAACACCCAACCTGCGGGTACAGCAGGTCACGAATTCTCGCCAGACTACCTACGTTCCTGAATAGGGCCAGTCACTAGGCAGTATCAGATTGTTATTCAAGTGTTAGTTTGTAGGGGATTCGATTGATTGTTTTCAGGATTGCATCATGAGCTAACATCGGTTAGAGGACCGTGGGAGAACCTGAGAGTACTGGGCAGCTGTTTCGTCCTAGTTCGGAACTCTTCACAGAACGCACCCACCGACATGGGTAGAACCTAGGGCCTTCGGGTTACAAGGCGAGCTCTTAGACCATTCAACCACTGCGACCCGATCCGATGTTCAGCCAGTGAATTCCAGCTTTTGCCAATCCGTGATATATGTATTTAGCACAACAGTCGCTAGCCACTGTCACAGGAGAGTGACTGTCCTCTTGCCCAACTCGTGATGGATCCCGCTGGTTACAACTTCTTACTAGAACCACAGGTAACTTCGTGTAACTAGAAGGTCCTAGGTTCGAACCCTGGCGGTGGGTGCATACTGATGAAGAGTCCCGAACTAGGCTGACGAAACACCTGTCCAGTACTCCTAGTTGGTTTTCCAATGGTTCTCTAATTCACGTCAACTTGTGTTCAAACCTTGTAACCAATCAAATTCCAGCTAACGAACTCTTGATAGCATTTATAATCCTCACACAGATTCAGACACCCACCCATACACTAATACACGTACACTTAGTTGAAGTTACATGCTTAGGAACAACCAATAGATTTCGAATACAGACACACACTGTCTTCGATCATAGGTGCCTGGGTTCTATCTCCCACGTGAACTGGTATAATAAGGTGAGCAATATTAACGTTAGGCATCGAGTACTAGGTAAGGAGGGGAAATCAACCGACGAGGCTATGAAGCTACATCGAATGAGATGGTTAGAACATGTGTTACACACGGCAGCCTAGCCATCGTCTTCCTCGACGACGGTTAATGTTAGCTGACATAGAGTCAGGTTGGAAAAGAGCTAGCTAGTGGCGGTCAAACGAAAAAATGGCACCAGTCAATGAAATCCACAACAGTTGGTTTAAGCTAGTCATATAGGAAGGTATAGACTTTCTGGTTGGGGTCGTCGGGACGGTAAAAACCAATGGTTGGAAACAATTACGCATTTCTTCTACTTTCTTCTGTTGGTTCGTATGCTACATGGAGTGTGGCGACTTGAACAACTGCACATACGTGTAAAGTTCTATGTGGAAAACAGACAGACGGACAGACAGACACACATATATATACACACACAATAATATACATACAATTTGTAATTGTCATATTTCTAATGGCAAAAATAAACACACTATACTGCATATCAATGCATCCCATATTACTCTATATAGATTTAGAAGGTCAATATATGAAAAACAGTATCATTCATTTAAGCAATTTGGCGGATAGTGACTAGGACTGGAATCCACGAGAGGCACTTCGTCCCACCTGGGACTCATCGTCCGGATTTGCCTACATGGCTCAAGTGGTCTAGTGGATAACGGTTTAGCATTGGAAACAATGGGTACTGGATTTGAGCCTCAGTGAGAATGATAACACTGACATATCAGGGAATGTAGGTACATCCAGTGAGGAGTACCGAATGGGACGAAATCTGCGGTGTCCTGAATTCCACTGCTCTTCACCAACCACTAAATTACTTCAAGTTAAATCCGCCTATATCGTCGTAAGATCCAGACAAGGAGCCGAAATATCGACAGACGACCCACACTTCAGTTAAATCCACCAATGGGAAAGTCAAAATAACATTATGTATGACTTTTTGTTATATGAATGAACTAGAACACATATTGTGCTGCGATTAGTGTCGATTTTCAAAGGAACATGTTATGTAATTTCGCCACTGTGTAAACTGCAAATTAATTTACAAATTGAGATTTTGACTTATGGTGTTCACACCAGTTCGCGTTTAATTTAGCTAGCCAGAAACAACAGGTTGGTTCGAACTAATCTGCCTCGATGAGCTGAGTTAAAACAGCTAAACCACTGATTTAGTTCAGTCAAAAACAATGCAGACGGCCATCGGACGATGAAAACACTTCAATCTGGTTAGCTAACTGACTGACTGACTGACTGGTTTTAACATAGAATTTCGCACCGATGTGCAGAAGTTCAAGTCACCACACTCCACTCCTTCCAGCACACAAACCAACAGAAGACAGTAGAAGAAATGCAAAATAGAGACAGTAGACAGGGATATGAAACAAAAGGAACAGTAATAACGAAGAACAATATAGTTTCATTGGAAATTATAAGTTACAAGTAGTGGATGCATCTGCGCCAGCCATTGAGGACCATTTCGAGGCATATTACCAATTGTCTCCAGTTGTCATAGGTGTTTACCGTCCTGAGGACCCCAACCAATCAGGAAGTCTACATCTTCGTACGTGACTGGTCTAAACTAACTGTTGTGAACTTCATTAACTGATGAAGCCATGTTTTGGTTTGACCGCCGCTAGCTAGCTCTTTTCCAACCTGACCTTACGTCAGCTAACATTTCCCGTCGACGAAGGCTGGCGATGGCTAGGTATGCGTAACACATGTCCTAACCATTTCAGCCGATGTAGATTCACAGCTTCGTCAATTCATTTCCCCTCCTCACCTAGAACTCGATGCCTAACCTCAATATTACTCACTGTATAATAGCGACTAACACGGAAGACAGAATACAGACATCCATGATCGAAGACAGCTAGTCAGACGTTTCATGTCTTCCACTCTCAATGGCTACGTCCTGCTCACAGCCATAAAGGAGGACGGAGCGGACTACTGAGCAGTACACCCGCCCTTTGGTTGATAGCCAGACAGCAAGATATCGTGTCTACTAATCCAGAGACGGTGTAAACTGGCATGTGCGAGACTAGTCCTCTGTACCTGTGCTTGGATTTCATAAGCGATCACCCCTTTGGGGCTGGCTGATGCAACTTCCCATAAAAGTAAAGTAGTCAACACGCCCTGCCGCTTCACTCCTGATCTTTGAGCTAGGAGTCAATACAGTACAGTCTTGTAGCATCCTCTCATATTTGGTGGAAGCAAATCGCATGCCAAACATTCGAAGACTGTTGCTCCTCAAGGTGTTCAGAAGACTCTGCATTTTGTCAGCATCTTCACCTAGGAGGGATGGCTATATAGTCTGTCGGGCGCCGGCGGTAAGTATGCCTATGTTCTGTCCCAGAATCTGTTGAAGGGTAAAGATATGATCAATACACCCTCTTCCTGGTCTAAAGCCTGTATGAATTTTTCGTGTTTGTGCCTCCCGAGCACCAATTAGTCTACTCATTATTATTGAACTTAGAACTGTAGATACCACCATATTAGTCAGGCTAATAATCTGTGAGTAATATACTACTCATTTCAATCAATTAGTAGTATATGTATGCATATACGCATATAATGCAGAATATCAAAATAAATAATTAACACTATCATTACCTGAATATCGGATTCTGCAGATTTCAAGAATAGGACAAAATGTGTTAAAAATCGAAGTGTATGACAAACCACTTGATCGATATTGCCAACTCGGCTGAAATCTGGTGGTTGTATAGGACCGATTTCGGGAACCACTCCATCGCCTAGGCCATAACATACTAATTTTGGCATAATATTTGCTAAAGTTGCCAAAAAGGCTGAAAATAGAAATAAAAAATTTTGTTTTTTTATTAAATTTAGGTGAGTTATTGAAAAAAAAACCAGGCTACAAAATATAAATTGCTGTAGTGAGTGCTACTTATATAATCAGATATAAGTAGTAGATATCAGGAATATTTAGGTATAACTGTGGCCCACTCTACTTCAGCAGCACAACTTCCCACCTCCTCTGAGTCATAGTCTCGAATCCTGTTCTCCCTTCAGAGGTTTGGATATCACAAATCCCAAAGAGTGACTGCATCTGCACCAGTCATCAACGAGAACGACGATTTTGAGCCATATCACCCACCAAATGTTTCCAGCTTCCATTGGTTCTTACCATCTCAAGGAACCCATGAAGACAGGCAGTAAGTTTACACTTCCTTACGTGGCTGGCTAACTGGCTTAAACTGACAGTTGTTGTGGACTTGATTTACTGATGAAGCCACATTTTGGTTTGCTCATCAAGTGTTAAATCTTTTCCAACCTGATCCATCCTATATGAGCGGCTGGCATAGCCCACTGTCGAGGAAGTCAGGCGATGGCTAGGCTACCATAAGTAACACATGCCTTAAACATTTCAGTCGATATAACTCCACAGCTTCATCTGTTGATTTGCTCTCCTTACTTAACACTCAACCAAGGCATAACCTCAACATTACTCACCCTTATCAGGCACCGATGATCAAAGACAGCTAGCCAGGCTTTTCATGTTCTCCATTTTCAATGGCGATGTCTTACCGACAGAGCAATGAAGCAAGACAGAGCGAACTGCTGCTATCTAGTACACACATCCTCTGATCAGCAGCTAGTCGGATATCACATCTACTAAACCAAGGATGGCGTGAGTCGGCTAATAAATGACAGACGAACTTTATGTATCTATTCTGAGATTTTGTCAGCCATCAACCCGTTGGGACTGGTTGATGCAACTTCTCAAATAATTAAACCGGTGGTCAACACACTCTGCCAATTCATTCCTGTATATCTTTGACCTAGGAGTGAGTCAGTGGAGTCCATTCCAGTCCAGTCCACTAGCATCATCTTACATTCGAGTGACAGGGACTAATCACATGCCAAACATTCGAAGATTGCTGCTCGTCGAAGTGTTTAGAAGACTCTATATTTCGTCAGCGCGTATACCAATTGTCTAAGTCATATAATATAAAATCGCCAAAATTAATTTAATTCTTTAAACTTACAATCATAATTTCTTAACATAACAGTCTGTTGTACAGCATAGAATATACAATAGACAATTGCATAGACTGAAGGCGATTGTATATCACTGCCATTGTTGTTAGCGTTCGCATTACGAAAACCATCATCATTTGTATACAGGCAGGAAGTATCATCCATCAAGAAATCATTCACTGCAGACCGGATCACCGTTTGCATACGTAGATTACTACTACTATTACTACTACACTTTTCTAGACAACCAATAGCTGACCAACCAAGACGTGCATCAACACGTGCAAATGCATCGGATAGTGTCCAATCACCAGGAGTCCATGCTGAATCGGGTAGAGTTAAACCACCATCCAATGGCCAGTGTTTTGTTGTTTTACCTGTTACTGCCTATAATATATAAGATAATAATATAAGAGGATAAAATATTATATAAGTAGTATATACATATAGAAGGCAATAAAACAAACAAAAAGTAAACAAAGAGTAGTTTGGATATTTACATTTTGACCTGAGAAGTATTTCCTACCCATTTATACAAGGGTAGACAGTTATCTACTATGACTACAAGCTACTAACTACCCTTTTGACACCATTTTAATATTTATTCCTTTGGAGTAAAGTATACTATCTTTCAAGTATTGGTTTGTAGGGATTTCATTGATTGGTTACAGGATTTCATCATGAGCTGACATCGGTTGGAGAACCATTGGAAAACTCGACAGCTGTTTCCTCCATCCTAGTTTAGGACTCTTCAACATTACGCACCCACCACCGAGGTCCGAACCCAGGACCTTCTGGGTTACAAGGCGAGCTTGTAGAAATCCGGTAACCAATCAATCAAATCCCTACAAACCAATACTGGAATATAAATGAGATGCTCACTGGCGACTGGCCCTATTCAGGTAGGTAGTTACTTGGAGTTCTAGTGAGAAGTCGTGACCAGTAGAATGCAGCGCGTCGGGTGTGAGAACAAATACTCGCCGCGGATGACATTGGCTAGCGGTTGCACTATATTGTGAGTTCGCAGAAGTTATAATTCATTGGCTGGCCATTGGATCGAGTCCCAGTGGCTTAATGGTATACGAGCTCGCCTTGTAACCAGGTCCTGGGTTTTAACCCCAGTGACTAGATGCGTACTGCTGAAGAGTCCCGAACCGGGGGAACGAAACAGCCGTCCAGTACTCCCAGGCTTCCTGATGGTTCTCTAACCAATGTCAGTTCATGATGAAATCCTAAGCTATCTTTGATGGATGTGCTTTTTAGGTGTACTTTAGAGTATTCGCGCTAGCGCACTCTCCGTAAATGACCAGATACACACAGTCAAGGGCTGGTAAACTTTGTAACGACAGAAGACAATGGGCAGCCAAACAGATCGTTTATTAAGAAAATCAAGAGATATTTATAGATTTTTATGTATATTATTATTATTATTAGCGGTATTGTTCTGTCTGGATTCAACATAGAACTTCACACCAAAGTGCACCAGTTCCAGTTGCCACGTTTCAATTGGCACACAAGGTAGACAAGAAGATGAGTGAAGAGAATCAATAGAGTTTGACAAATATAAGAGTGAAACAGAATGGGTAATTGTAGAAAGGAATATGAAAGATTACAGAAACTGAATACATCTGCGCCATTGACAACGATTTTGAGCCATGTCATCTACTGTCTCCAGCAGTAGAGAAGCAACGTCTTCTGATGGGTTGTTTTCCTGCTGAAGGTTATTCTGTCATGTCTTTGTGGATATTTCTTTGAAGGTCAGAGCATATATATCTGCGAATTGTATCCGCCCACGCAAAGTTTGCTGTGTGATTGGCTGTTGAATTAGTCTTTGTTTTTGTGTTTTTTATCATGACCAAGATTTGGGAAGTAAACATTGACGTAAATTGTTGTCTATCAATTTTGGCTAGTAGACAGCTATTACCGAACTTTGATCGTTTCCCCAGAAGTGCCCTTATGACGCTAGGCATTTAGAACCTCTTCCTGTTCACCACCTTTGATCGTTAAAGGTTATTCTTACGGAGTGGGCGATTGTGAATATTCTCTGATCATCACCGGACTAGTAGAAAAAAGGGTCCCCGCAAGCGATTGGGTACTATACAAAACCCGATAATTTGTGCTAGGGGTGAGATACTGCCGAGACGCTAAAACTGATGCAGGTGGTTATTTTAAGGAACGTTTCTCTGAGCCTTTGGCTAAAAGTCTGATTCACAAGGGAGTAGAGCAGCATTAAGAGCTGCGTTCCATCTGCGTTAGGTAAATCAGCATGTCAACCAGTCCCCTTGTAAACGCCAGACGTTTGCGTCAGATCTTTCACTTTGTGAAGAACACCCCCGCCGCGTGGAGGTATTGGAAAAACCTACGATGTACATAGGCTCAAGAAAGCGAAAGACAGTTGGGGAGTAAAAACCACCCACACACTTCCATAGTCAAAGAAAGCTTTACACATGGATTTATATTATACAGTTTACATGCAATAATGATATGCTTAATTTTGGAACTATTGTGAACAGAATTGCTCACATGAGCATGACACAATAAGTAACGCTGAATTCAAAATAAGTAATATATATTGAAAATGAAGCGAAAAAAAATGTTCCCACATAACAACATTAAGCATAAAGAATTCTAACTTACTAAGGTATCAGCTCTAGGACCAGTATTCAATAAACTACGTAGACTCGAATCAACACGTGCTTCAACTAGTGCTCGACAATGTGCCCATGTTTGATCAGTCCATGAAGCCGGTAAAATTTGTGTTAGTACATCCAGATTCCCTGAGAGTGTTGCATAGATAGCCCGTTCAAATGAACGTAATTCTACCTATATATTATATAAATAAGTAAAAAGAAAATGGAATTAACACTAGAATTAATGGCAAAGTTAAACTTTAAGCATCATTAACTACAACCAATCAGCGAATGACCTTGAGCGCACCAATCACATGAGGGAGGCATTTTTGTGTCTGGAATACATATATTTATGAAGAAAAAAATGCATAAAAACTGCAGAAAAGTGTTACAGAGGATACCTTCCTCTTAAATATGATAAAAATAGCTCTCAGTTTTAGGCTGGAGTATCAACAGAGTGTAATTCCATTGTGGGTAAAATTTATTTTTATTAAGTCTAACAGTGCTATGGAATTAACAGTAGAATTAACGATACGACGAGTGAAACTGAAAGTTAAATCGTAAGAAATTCAAACTGCAATTGATGAGTCGGTACGACTGTTTCAAGGAAACAAATATAACCCAAGAGAGTATAACGAGTGACTGATAAGTGAAATGTGTAGTGTACCTCTTGAAGAAATTGTACTCTTAAGACAGACAGGCAGACAGACAGATATGTGAACCGATGCAAGATTTCGATAGAGAAACAAAGACGCCGGATTCGCAGTACAAAATGATATCGTCATTCTACTTCACAGGTCCTCATCAGCTGCAGACTACCTGAAATTACAACGTTTATAAGGATGATAATAATATGCTTTAACGCTTAAGTGATAATAGAGAAAATATGCTATAAAACTGAAGCATCCAAAATGTAAGCAGCATTACAATTTTTAGTTTAAGTTTTCACCATCAATTCATACTCTTTCAAAGTAGAAAAGAGGGGTGAGGGGTAAAACAGAAAACAGAAAAGATTGACAAACAGTGTTAGCTTGTAGCTTGTTCACATGGCAACTGAAAATATGAAAGCGTTTACAGTTCATAAGATTAAGATTTGTTCAGTGAGTTGAGATCACTGAATTAGATGACTAATTAATGTAACCAAAATCAAAACTTAGTTGCCAAGACCCGAATGTATGACACAAGATTAAGTTGGGGACATGTTAGAGGGGTCCAAACCAAGAAGTGATAATTACCTAATCCACTTAGTAAGGTTTCGTGCTAGTCGGCACTCACCAGTCAGCAAGGTGTATCTGCAACCACATTGAAGGAACTTATTACCTTCCCTCTGAGATTCGAACCCGCGTCACCGGGTGAGTGTTGTAGTCAGAGACGTTACCACTAAGCCATTCGGGCTAGCGATTCACCTCATGTAGGACTGCATTGGATCGTGTGACTGGACATTAATAACTAGTCTGAGGTATCTAGTCCCTTCTGTCAGTCAGGTTTGCAATGTGCAATTAATAGTGTTCTCTGAGCTGGTTGGTTTAGTTGCGGAGCTTTCATCGTCCACCTTTCAGGACAACATCCCCCTTCAGCGCAATTTTTAGCATAAAGTGAACTTATTTAAATTTTTTCCATGAGGGATAGAATTGCGTCTCCCAGTAACCATCTTTACATATGTATTGACCATTTTCTATTGACTAGGATCTTAAACATTCTCGTCACTTGATTTACTCTTTATTAGTTGGTATATTTGGTCTATACATTAACGCGTTTGTTAATTGCATATTCGTTTGAGTACTAGGCTTCTAGGAATTCCTTGACTGCACTTTTGGTGTTTCCTCTGTCTAACATTTCGACATTATCCCACCAATCAAACTGATGTTCATAATTATCTATGTGCATTGATACTAAAGAATACATATCGTGTCTTTTCACGGCTGATTTGTGTTCTTGGATTCTAATTCGAAGGGGACGCCCACTTTGGCCGATATAATGTCTGTTACAGTTCATACAATTTATTTTGTAAATGGTACTAATTTTATCTTCTTTTTCTGTTGGCTCTTTCGGTTTGCATATTATCGGATTAAGCGATTTAACTGGTTTGTGTGCTATATTCTATATCAAACGGTTTCAGTATTTTAGCTGTTATTTCAGAGATATTTCTCATGTATGGTAGGATGAATTTTCTTCTGGTCTTTGATGATGGTTCCTTGTTGGTGTTGTTGTTCGACTTTAAAGACTTTTGTAAAATTTTGTGGATAACCATTCTTTTTGAAGACCGTTTGTAGGTATTTTTATTCCATTCTTTCCAACGCTGGAGTGCTACAGTGTGTTTGAATTCTTATAATAAAAACAATGTCTGCACACAGTTTCTTTTGTGAGTAATTGGATTATTGCTAGTATAGTTGAGTATTTGATCTGTGTGCGTTGATTTTCTATATACATTTGTATTTCTAGATTTCCTGTGTTGGTTCTCCTGATACAGACATCTAAAAATGGAATTTTGTTGTCTAATTCTTCTTCTCTCGTGGTGAATTTGATGTCTTCAAATATGTTGTTTATTAATTTATGGGTATATTCTAAATCATTTCCCCTAATTATTACAAATGTATCATCAACGTAACGTATCCAGACTGTCGGTTTAATCATAGGTTTGCAATGTGGCCACCATTCTAGGTAGCTCGTGATCACGAAAGAAACTGGTTTGATGACGACATTGAAAACCTGACTGATAGAATTCAGTCTGTACCACTAGTTATATATATATATATATATATATATATATATATATATATATATAAGCTATCAACAGACCTATAGCGCTTACATTTTCAGAATTCCACCAACATACAGATTTATACAAAATTCTTGTTGGATTGCCTTCAACAGTTAACTTCATATAAAATGGTCCAGATTCACCGAGTTCTTCATCTTCATTAAATGCTTTCTCCATTTCTTTGGATTCACTTTCAATAAATCCAGAATAATGGAATGGACGCCAACCTTCCAGGGAAATAGCTCGCCAATATTCACCACGTTGTGTACACAACAGTTGAGCCTTATATAATAAAATAGAAATAAACACAAGAGGATTTAATGAATTTGGACCATCATGAAATGTAAATGAGTCTGTGCCAATTAAGAACAACACATTTCGTCCATATCGCGTCCTTGGTGACAGCAGTAGCATGCTCACCAACTATGCTACAAGTGGTCCGGAGTTCAATCTCTGGCCACAGATGCACTTCTTAGCCTCACTAAGCCGGTAATATGACCAGTTAGAACGGAGGGTTAAACATGAGACTGGTAACCTAAACTTGTAAAAGTAAACATCAGTGCTACCAGAACTTTAAAACTCTCTAGCTTGAAGCCCGATGTTCCACTAAAAGCGTAAACGAATAAAATTTGAAAAAATAAATTCGGCTGTATTACCAACATTCTCTAACCATTGTCTCATAGCATAGCCTCCCCCTGAGGATCCCAAGGGGAGGCAGTCTACACCTCCCCTCCCCTACGTGTCTAGCTCAAACCAAGAACCAAAGGCTTCATGGATTAATGCCAGGTTTTTCTTTGACTAAATTAGTCCAATGACGAAGAAGGCGATTTTTTGGCATGGGCAACACATCTCCCAAGCATCCCAATAGAAGTAGTTTCACATAACCTCATATATATTAACTCGAAAAGGCTAACTTTCTTTGATAATAGGTGCCTACATTCTACCTCCCGTGTATTAAGTGGTAGATATAATAGGGTGAGTAATACTGAGGTGACGCATCAGTCGAGTGTTAGGTTAGGAGGAAAAATCAATGGACGAGGTCATGAAGTTACATCGATTGAGGCTATGACTAGGAAATCTCGGCTGATAACTGCTACCTTGTCGTGGTGGTCGGGCTTGAATACCGTAATGACCCAACATGCTAAACTGACTGGCACTCTGTCCTTGCAGGTCCTATCATGTCAGGAAGGTTGTTTGGATAGCGGTTAAACTAAAAGCAGTTACCATGGGGTACATGGGCTCCAGTATCCAATCGGATCAAATGGCGTTTGAGCCCAAATAGGTCACCGGGAACCATGGGAATGCAGCTCCTGGCGCTGCTCCGCTGCCTTTGCGGATTAGACTCCAAGTCAAAGGCTCGGGGAATGGTCCCTTAGTAAAAACCACCTGCTTCGGTCTGGGCGCCCGGGCAGTATCTCAGCCCTCACACAATGAATTGAGTAAAGCAACAAACAATCAAGGAAACTTGTCGCGTGCTATTACATGTGTTGCACTTTCCTACTTTCTTCTCTTCCCGATGATAGTTACACAGAGTAGCCCATCCATCACCTGCCTTCCTCGATATTGTGCAATGTTAGCCGCTGACACAAGATGGATCAGGTTGGAAAAGAGGTAGCACGTTATGGTCAAACCAAAACATGGCTCCATCAGTCAGTGAAATCCATAACAACAGTTAGTTTAAGCTAGCCAGCGAGCGATGTAGGGAGGTATAGACCTCCTCACTAGCTGGCTGGGGCCCTTGGGATGGTGAGAATCAATGGAGGCTAGAGAAAATTGGTGGGCGATGTGGCTCAAAATCATCGTTCTCGGTAATGGCTGGTGCAGATGCATTCCGACAAAACTCTACTGTTCTTCCAAATTACTATTCTTCTTCCCTTACTCACACTTCTGTTTACTCTCTTCTCTTACTTTGTGTTTAGCATGGAGAGAGTATGACAAGTTGAACCGCTGCACATCTGCGTAAAGTTCTATGTCGAAATCAGTCAGTCAGTTAGTCAGCATCACCAGGCCTCCCCAGTTTCAATGACTACGTTACACAGCCATGAAAAATGACAGGTTGAGTATTATCTATTATTATTATTACTAGTATTATTATTATTATAAGTCACTAACCACTTGCACTGCCATACAGCTGGTATTGAAGCCAGGCTTATTATAGCAGGATTGATGATGTTATCCAGTTTCCTAGGGTCTATACTAGATGCAGCGGGATTCAAAGTCACTGTCCAAAAGTCCAGTGCTTTAGTCGATGAGTCACATCACGCCATAATGATATAGTACCACTTACTGAATAATGTTTCCACCACAGCTTATGGTTTTAGTATTATAAACACATAACTATCAAGATAAGCGTCATAAATTAGTAATTCCATAAAATTATTATTCCCTTGGGTTCCGAGTGGAATGCAGGGCTTCAGCCCGGGGAACATCCCTACTTCACTCTCCTCTCTGCAGTCGCCCATAAGCTTTCATTTCTTCCTCACACAATCTTCTCCACACCACCCTCGGAACCAGACCCAACTCATTGCTGCTTATTCGAGTTCCACTCATGGGTGTGGCGCCAAAAATAAAATCAAATAACACGATAGTTCAAAAATATAAAATAGGACAGCGAAACCATAACCATACGCAAATACAAAGCATACTTACACGATGAAGATCTCCACCACGAAGGCATAAAAATAAATAATTCACATATCGATCATCATCGATTTGATCTTTTTGATCCAGTTCATTGCCAGTAAGCGTTACCACATCTGGATGCTAATGTACAATGAAAACAGAAAAGGATTCAATGAGAAAAAGAAATGAAAACGCCATTAGTCAAGAATAAAAGAACATTAATAATAATAATAATAATAATAATGATGTTCTGTCTGTCTGTCTGTTTTCGACATAGAACTTTGCACAAATGTGCGGAAGTTCAAGTCGCCACATTCCGTGTAGCACGCGAAGCAAGAGAAGAAAGTACAAGAAAAGCATAATAGAAACAGTGAGCAGAGGTGTGAGACAAAGGAGTAATAAAGAAATACAAAACAGTTTCATTGGAGATCATAAGTCACAGGGAGTGGATGCATCTACGCCACTGAGAACGAATAATAATGATGTTAGTCAAGTGTTGGTTTGTAGGGATTCGATTTGATTGGTTACAGGATTTCATCATGAGCTGACATCACCAAGAGAACCATTAGAAAACCTGCAGGAAGTACAGGACAGTTAGTTGTTTCGTCTTAAATTTGAAACCGAGAGAGTTTGAACCCGGGACCTTCTAGTTACAAGGCGAGCTAGCTTGTAGATAATTGAGCCACTGAGACCAGATTCAATGGCCAATCATCTATGAATTCCAATTTGTGCCAATTCACGACGAAACAGCTGTCTAATACTCCCAGAGTTTTCCAATGATCCTCTTACTCATGTCAGCCATTCATGAATTAATGATATTGCTGGTTTATGTACGGTCCTTCGATTTATGGTCATACGAAGAGCAGAATTAAAGACGAGTGTATTTCTTTTACTCCATATATTAGCCAGATCTTGCCCGCATTCCGATGAATAATGGTCTTCGAATAACCACCACCGCCGTATGGTAAATTATGAATTTGATTTATGACATGACCAATTCGACCAAGTAGGTAGTTAGCTTGTCAAACAGAAATCGGGTGATTTGAACTGATAACTAGGCTCTCTGAGCTAAATCAAACCCCGGATGAGCTCGACCCCGTAAACAAGCGAGACGGTCATTCTGTGGTGGTGGTGGTGGTGGTGGCGGCGGTATTTACATCACCTCAATCTGGCTAGCTGGCAAGTACTGCTGGTTGATATGAGTGGTAATCAACTACTCATCTCAATCAATTAATCAATCAACTAATCAGTAGTATGTAGTTTTATGCCACCTTTGTAATCCTCCCTTGTAGTCACTTACTAAGACTGAGTCGACCAATCTTAATTTGGCACTATGACACTCTCATATATATTTCGAATCCCGGTGGGTGAGTACTGCTGAAGAGTCCCAAACTAGGACGAAACAGCTGTCCAGTACTCCCAGGTTTTCCAATGGTTCTCTAACTAATGTCAGCTCATGATGAAATCCTGAATTATCATAAATATTGGTTGGTTAGTAAGGATTAGATTAGTTTTTACGAGTTTGACCACGCACGAATTGATATCAGTTAGAAAACCACTGAAAACAACCAGGTAGTACACTGAACAGCCGGCTGTTTCCTCCTAATTTGGGAATCATCGGAACTAGGCACCCACCACCACAATGGGGTTCGAACACAGGACCTTCCGGTTAACAACAAGGCAAGCTAGCTCGTATACCATTCAACCACTCACTGGGACCCAAGCCGATTCAATGACCAATGCATGAATTCTAACTTCCAACAATTCGTGATGCATTTAGCACCACTGGCACCAACTAATCGATGGCCATCGGTGGGAAATCCATCCTCATACAGTTGACTGGATGGACCTCACTGGTCACGACTTCTCACTAGAACTCACTCCAGTAAACTCTGCCCTGTAGTCAGCCAATCACTAGCAAGCATCAGTACTCCCTAGTTGTTTTCAATTCAATGGTTCTCTAACTGATATCAATCTGAGATCAACTCGTAAAAACATACCATAATATGGCTATTTTTTCATAACTACAACTCATTGACCACATAATCAAAATACTGAATTCCTCGTGCACCAATCAACAACTGTACTAAACAGCAGTCACCTAGATATTCGCACACAAGGTTATTATTGATTCCTTTAATTCCTAGAGGAACATAGGGCTTCAGTCGCACGTCTCCATTGCCTTCGGTTCTCTGACAAAGTTTTCATCTGACTCCAGGTCTACCCACATGCTTTCATCTCCTCTTCACATGACCTCCTCCACGTCACCCTCACACTGACGACCAACTCACCGCTTACCTTTCGGGTTCCACTCGAGCAATGGCTTGTCTAGTGATGTCAGTTGATTGTTTGTTTTCTCAGAGTATGGCCAATCCATCTCCATTTCTTCCTGCTTATTTGTTTCACAATGTGTTCCTGGATGGTTCGCTCATTGCCAGAGACCCCTGTTGCTGATCTTTTCTGGCTGGCCATCTGATCTTGAGTATTGAGCGAAGGCAGCTGTTGATGAAAGTCATTAGTTTGTTCGAAGTGCCCTTCGTGACGCGGTGCCAAGTGTCTGATCCGTATAGTCAGTAGAACTGACTTCACAACGGAATTGAAAATCCGGATCTTATTTTTGATGCTGAGTGCTGTTGTCCTCCACAAAGACTTAAGAGTAATGAAAGCTTGTCTTGCTTTTCCGATCCACGCTGCTTTGATATCCTCGTCAGTTCCGTCCGCCTATAGTTGAAACGATGCTTCCCAGGAAGGTAGGTAGGTAGGTAAAGGAGGTTGTTTCTTTCAGGTTCCTCCCATTTATGCCGGCTGATTGCTGTCTGTTGTTGTTGCTGTTGGTGTTTCCCAGGAATCTTCATCACCTCTGTTTTCTCTAAGTTCACCTGAGGGGAGTCCTATCTTCTCTGGATGCTTCTTCTGTCAACTTGTTGCTTTTCACTTGCATATGTCCTCCAGTTTGTGGGAAATCAGACATATACCACATCACATAGGCGAAGTCCAGATCCTCCAAGTTTTTGTTCACAACGTTAAGAACAAAGTTAATTATATACTACAGTGGACAATACCACTAATAATTTGCTTAGACAATGCTGATCTAAGAGTTAAACGTCTAGTTAGTGTAGACAAGTAAGTATTCAACTCTTCAATCACTGTTGTTGCTGCTGTTTGTTTTCACGAATTCACGATTTCCCACCAACGAAATTAACCAATTCCGGTGTAAGGACAAATGCTCACCGAGATGACAATTGACTGGAAGTCGCAGAAAAGCGAAACTCACAAATTGACAGATATTAGAATTAATAGACTATTGGATTCCGTTCCAGTGGCTGAATAGTTAATAACCTCACCGCATAACCTGAAGGTCACCCCCCCCGCCGGATTTACCACCGATGTGATGGTGGTCATGGATGCGTATGAGGAAGAGTCCTAAACCAGGACGAAACAACTTTCCAATACTCCCTTGCGGTTTTTAATGATTCTCTAAACTGAAGTCGACTCACGATTAAAATTGAAACGAATCAAACCGCTACAATCTAACACTTTCTACATTAATTTGCACTTCACGAGGATTGATTGTGTTGGATTAAAATACTAAACCGCTGTTGACATGTTGCCTCCTACTGCAGACGCTTCAAGGGTGTCTGAAGATGAACACGATGTTGCTTCGTGTTAGTTTGTTTATTAGACGTATCACACAGTTAGAGAAACAGTATTATCTACTGGATGACGAGGTTTCGAACACAATTTATCACTGTTCATAATCATTCCATCAATTATAATCACACGACTTCGAAACTTGACTTTTATAGTTTTCTTTGTTCTCTCCTATTTGTCCCGTTGGGGTAGTAGAATTTTCCAGATATCTGACTGGACAGGTGTTGAATCATTCCTATTACACGTGTTTGCAGTTGATTCGATAAACAAAGCTTCTGTTGTCAATCTCTCCCTCCATTTTACCCTGTTACATTAGATTTTAAAACTGTCATCTTATCCTTTCATCCTATTGAATGGTTGTGTTGTGTGTCATTGCATGTAGTGCTTGCAATAGCTGACCTACCCTCGAGATTTCTTTTCTTAGTCGGGTCAACCCATGTAGATTTTGCCAGGTTTGTATGCAGGGTGTTAGATAAACTGCATTGTTTTTGTTTTATCGGCTCCACAGGATTGATCATTTAACCGACAAAGCTTGTTACTAATTGAGTTTGTGAGTGGCAGGTTTATTCCTGCCTGCCTTGTTAGAAATTCTGCGTAAGGTTTGTGAGGTTCCTTCTTTATATAGAAGCACTACTGATGATTTAGATTCCTTATTGTTGATGCTGTCCGGGGGCATATTTGACATGCATGTCTTCACTATGGCTACTATCATTATTTATTTTATTTTTACATTTCCCTACATATTTCCTGACTAATAATCAGGGTAATTATTATGTTTCAAGGCTTCTCTTATATGCATCACTTCCTGTCTTAGATTTTCCTTGTTACTTCTTAGTTTTTGTGCTCCGTCACTTAAACATTTCACTAATACTGTTTCACTGACTATGTGATACATCTAACAAATACAAACTAACATGGAATTTACTTACTACCACAGTGTCCAAGTTTTACACATATATGAACATGATGTTGTTTTTGGTTGGTAGTAACTACCAACTTCACCCTATAAACGCTTGGTTTCGTCCCTTTTAAGACTCCTCATCCGGATTTACCCAGTTTTTTCATCTTAGTGCATCCCAGGTGGACCATAGGTCCTCAGGCTTGTATTTTACCGGGGTTAGGTTGCTAGCCTCACACCCAACCTTCCCTCTCTCTCTCTCTCCCTCCAAGGCTTGCTGATATCTAGTAAATTAAGCAAGGTCTAGGAGTATGTCGGTTGCTAGGAATCGGACCCCAGACCACGTAGGAGGTGGCCCGTTGGCCCAATGGATAACACTTTGGAGCTTGAAATGATAAGTGCCGGTGCCTCCACAATGGAGATGCAAGTAAAACCAGCTGACGACTCCAAAATAACAGAATAGTGTTTATTTCAAAAAGGGAAAGACAGTGAGTGAATAAAGGAACATACCAATTCTTTGATTAAACGGCGCTTTGTAAGTTCTGATTTCGGAAGGTAATTCAATAAGTGTGCTGTGTTCTCCCTTCAAAAGAAAAAAGACGCACAGACAGTACGATGATTATTTTGATAAAAGCCAAGAACGACAAGCGAAAACACACAAAAAAGAGCAAAGAGATGATAACTCTTTATTCCATTGTGACCTTTGAAACAGTAATTGCCTTTCTGGGCATTCTACTCAAACAAACTAGCCCCCGAAATGCGCCATTCTATGAACCATATTTCTTGCGTGATCACCGATTCTACTATCCAGTTAGTTGTCCAGGCTAATTCAGATGGAGAAAGACCCTAACTGAGGATCTACTGGATCCCGACCGATAGCTGTTAACCTTGACGTGGTGGTCGGGCTTGCAAATCGCGATGACCCAACACGATACACTGGCTGGAACTATTGTTCCTGCAGGTTCTACCATGCCAGGAAGGTTGTTAGGATAGCGATTAGACTAAAAGCAGTTACCGGTGCAGTGTAAGAATTTTTCTTTTTTACACTATGCTGGGGGTCGTACTGCCACTGGGGAACAGGGATGTAACAGCCACAGTAAGCTGTTTCCCTCAGATGATCAGCATGCCACCCAGCTATGCTGTCTCTCCAATCTGGAGGGAGAGAGGGGGTTAGAAAAGGTCGACCCCAACAATTGTACATTTCGACTTACCCCAACTACGGTGGTCCGTAATCGGCGGTAAGTTTACTAATACGGAACCAAACCAAACCGTGTGCGACCGGCTTGAAGCAGTTGTCCCCTGGGCTCTACGGTCATGCAACACTAACCCTCTTTCTGTTTCACGTACCCGAGGAATCAATCAACTTCCACGATTGGTTGGGAAGCCGGGAAATAACAACTGCCCACACACTTCCTGGCCTACTGGATGGTTGACTGGCTTAAGCTTTCAACCTCTGCAGTCAATAGGCCTCGGGTTCAATCTCGCCTTACCTACTTCAGTTTTGATAACTATGCAGTATCATTAGCCAGAAAAGATAGATAACAAGGAATTCTGATGGGTTGACCAACCAACCAATAACTTATCTATCCTATCACCTAAGAAGCATGCAGAACAAAATAGAGACGCATTAGAAGATATACACTGAGGAGACCATCACGCGCTAGGCAGACCCTCGACAAGCAGGGTCTACGTTTGAAGATATGGAGTAGATTGTGTGAAGAAAAATGAAAGATTACGGGCAGTCGTGGAGCCAGCAGAAAAGACTTCAGAAAAAAACAGTGAAGCAGATAGATGTCCTCCTCAAGTCCTATTTTCCACTCGGGACCCAAGGGAATAAATATATATAACTAACTTATATCCAACCAACACAGACAAAATAAAAAGGAGAAGACATATAAGCAAACAATGTTGTTTTCAATAAGATTTTCAGGCTTCACCTAATTTACATAGATTTACGCATAAAAACTTTTAACCAATGACGGTGATTTTGTGGATCCAACTGACAACAGTTGAAAAGTAACAACTGTTCATGAAACTGCAATTTAATGGGGACATGGCTAGCGAAGTCTTACATCTGAGATTATCGAGAGCGATAAAACGGACTTATATGCTGTCGCCACGACACTTTGTTTGTCATTTTCCAGCTGCCAATCAATTATGATTGCTCAAGTGAAAGACAAGCTACCTAGCTATGCCACTTCTATGTGTGTATCTATAAATTTAATTGCTCCTGTGGAGAGAGCTCGCTATGTAGGACAAACAACTAGACAGCTTAACAAACACATCATTACTGAGCATCTTCCTTCATGGCTCGGAAAAGGTTAAATAAAATCTATACGAAGTTCTATTTTAGACTCATTTGATTAATAGCGGTCACCAAGTAGACAAAAATAGTGCCGCCTTCAAAGTTATCTATCGCATTCCATCGAGCCTTTCGAACGGAATCAGAACCCGTCTTTTACACAGCCAAAGCTATGGGAATTCGAGAGAACACTCCTAGTCTTTGCATACGACATAAGAAGTTTTTTCTACCTTTGTCTCGCCCTTGGCCTAGGTGAATTCTATTCAAAACCCTCCCACCCATTCTTATCATCCATCTCCTTCGTACTTTTATGATATTTATTTAAACTCTGATTATCTATCTGTCCACTTCACCTTTAGTATTGCGTAACTTTTAAGACTTGACTTAATTTATTTATTGAATTGTATACATATACACATATTAATACCTTTGTTGAGAAACAATTCATGTATTGATGAAATCGCCACTCTACGGATCATCATTGAACAAAGCTTAGAATAGCAGTCAGCGTTCTATCTCAACTTCATCGACTTCGAAAAGGCCTTTGACAGCGTCAGTCGAGAGGTGATTTGGCAACTACTTCGCTACTACGGGGTGCCATCGACAACTATACATCTCATCCAAAAGTTGTACGACAACGCTGCATGCCTAGTAATCCACAACAGGGAACTTACAGAATCCTTCGAAGTGAAGACGGGAGTAAGGTAAGGCTGTCTACTATCACCAATGATTCTCCTGATTGCAGTAGATTGGATAGTGCGACACACAACGGGCAATGAGGAAACAGGCACAAAATGGACTCACACAAAAAACTTGGAGGATCTGGACTTCACCTATGATTGGTATATGTCTGATTTCCCACAAACTGGAGGACATATGCAAGTGAAAAGCAACAAGTTGACAGGAGAAGCATCCAGAGAAGATAGGACTCCCCTCAGGTGAACTTAGAGAAAACAGAGGTGATGAAGATTCCTGGGAAACACCAACAGCAACAACAACAGACAGCAATCAGCCGGCATAAATGGGAGGAACCTGAAAGAAACAACCTCCTTTACCTACCTACCTACCTTCCTGGAAGCATCGTTTCCACTATAGGCGGACGGAACTGACGAGGATATCAAAGCAGCGTGGATCGGAAAAGCAAGACAAGCTTTCATTACTCTTAAGTCTTTGTGGAGGACAACAGCACTCAGCATCAAAAATAAGATCCGGATTTTCAATTCCGTTGTGAAGTCAGTGCTACTGACTCTACCGATGAGAGACTTGGCGCGCCATAAGGAGCCCCTGGAAAAAACTACAACCCTTCATCAACAGCTGTCTTCGCTCAATACTATATTCACGATCAGATGGCCGGCCAGAAAACATCAACAACAGGGATCTCTGGCAATGAGTGGAACAACCAGGAACCGATTGTGCAACAAATAAGCAGGAAGAAATCCATGTGGTGGATTGGCCATCCTCTGAGGAAACCATCAAGTGACATCACCTCACCAGACAGCCCATCGCTCGAGTGGAACCTGAAAGGGAAGCGGCGAGTTGGTCGTCCAAAGGTGACTCTGAGTAGGTGATGTGAAGAGGAGATGAAAGCATGTGGGCGGACCTAGAGCCAGGTGAAAACTTTAGCAGAGAACCGAACGCACTGGAGCCCTGTGTCCCTCTAAGAATTAAAGGAAATAATAATAATAATACCTTTGTTATTCTTATCGCCACCTGCATAAACCTTGTCATCAATATTTTGTTATCATTAAAATCATCGTCATTAATTACGTTCAAAACATTTACCACATTATTATTATTATTTGATCCACGAATTCACCCGTTATTGGTTAAAAAATTTTATATATAAATCTATGTAAATTAGAGTAAAGCCTGAAGAAGATCTAATTGAAAACAATATTATGTATATCCAAACCAAGTTCACTTTTAACGGTTTGAAAAAATTTGGGTATTGGATATATGATATTTATTATAATAAAGGTTTTCTTGTATTTTCCAATGAATGTTTTTCATTCATTCGGAAATACAAAAAAACCTTTATTATAATGAAAACAATATTGTTCACCTCTATTATATGTCTTGTTCTAATATTAAAAAAATTGGAAAGACCCATTCAATCACATAAAGCATGCAGAGTAATCTTCACTAGGATATGTAGATTACACAGCATCCCAAAAAACGAACCACCCAAAAGAGATTCGAATGATGAGACCCACTAACAGCAACGATAACAATGAAAAACTGGATTACCAAGCTGTTGTTTGATTAAAAAGGCATTCATATCTTTCGGCAACTTCTTCAATTTGTTCACGAACCAAAAGTTCTAGCCAATCAATCAGTATCTGAAAATAAATGTGTAAAGCATGCATACCTAACCTAGACAGTATACATACAAATGAAGAAAGCATGAACAAAAGAAACACAAACTAATGGTTGAAGGGAGTCGGCTGGAGGCCTCCAACCTCGGTTTCATGCTTGTTGTTACGCACCAGTCAGAAAGGAATATCGGTAGTCTTGAAGGAAGTCATGTTCCTTCTGAGATTCGTACCTGTGTCACTCAGTGCTACATTCAAAGACGTTACCGCTTAGCTGTTCAGGCTAGCGATTGACCTCCAATAGGACTTTGAAGGATACTTTGATTTGATAGGTAGAAATGAAGCACAGGGAGGTCAGCCGCGAGTCTGAATAGAGCTCAGTGGTAACTTCTTTGAGTCCTTCCAAGATTGCAGATATGTCTTGCCGACTGGTGAATGCTAACAAGCAGGAAACCCACATAGTCCAAGGCCTTCTGTGGCCGATTGCCTCCAACAATCTAATAACAAGAATTCTGAGTGCATTGTGATGAAGAGCCACCTACCATGGTGGTCACATTACAAACTTGACTGACAAAATTTAATTTGCAACTAGCAAAGGATTAGAGTCATGACGCCAGTTAGTTCACAATTAAAGATACTGTTAATTTGAACCATAAAGTTGAGAATCTGAGACTTTCCTAATTCTTGTTTTAAAGTGGAAAGAGATTTGATAATATTCAATGGAGAGGAGACTCAATAGACAGGACACCTTGGATAAAAACGATTAGTCCTTACTGAAAGTCATAGACAAGAGGTGTCACATATACACCACGATAGAGAATGTTAGAAAGAAAGAACGATGCCTATGTTTAAGGATTGCAGAGGACTATTTCTTTTTTCACATTTAACAGTCCTCAACAACCACCACCAATTCCTTACAGTTGGAGGTGATCCCCACCTGTTGTTTGAAGGCTAGTAGATCTACCTGCCTACCTAAAGCTTGATAGGTGGAGAAGGCTTTGAACCTCTGCGTGACCTACTCGTTGAAAGTCGACAGCCAATACGTCACATCCCCTCTTAACATTTAATACTGAATCATAGCACAGTAATGTTGTGACACCTTACTTAGTGACGACTTTACACACTTGGTTCGTATTGGCTAACTGCCTGGTTTTAGCACAAACCTTTGCACACGTGTGCTGCAGTTCCAGTCACCACTCTCCTTTCAAGTAGCACATAAAGCATGAAAAGAGAGTATGGATATATTCATCAAAAGAGAGATCGATAATAAACAGAAGTGTGAGTGAAGGAAAAAAAATAGTAACATAGGAGAACAATTGAGTATTATTAAATATCACAAACGACAAAGAGATAATGCATCTGCGCCAGCCATCACTGAGAACGACGATTTTGAGCCCTAACACCTACAATTTGTCTCCAGCTTCCATTGACTCTTACTAACCCAAGGACCCCAACCAGTCGGTCAGGAAGTCTACACCTACCTACGTGGTGTCCTCGCTCAGCTAAACTAACTGTTGTTATGGATTTGATTGACTGATGAGGCCATGTTTTGGTTTGACCACCATGTACTAGCTCTTTTCCAACCTGATCCATCTTGTGCCTGCGGCTTACATTGCACGTTATCGAGGAAAGCGATGGCTACGCATGCGTAACACATGTCCTAACCATCTCAGTCCACGTAACTTCATGACCTCATCGATTGATTTTCTTTCCTTACTTAGCATTCGATGCCTAACCCCAACATTACTCGCCTTGTTAAACCACTTAACACGAAAGATAGAACGCTGGCGCCTATGATCAAAGACAGCCAGCTGGCCTTTTCATGTCTTCCACTTTTAATGGTCATGTCTCACCTGCAACCATAAAGGGGGATGGAACAAACTGCTGAGCAGTACACACGCCCTTTGGTCGATAGCCAGCCAGCAGGATATCAAGTCGACTAGTCCAGAGACGGCGTAAACTGCCATATGCGGAACTACCTTTCCGTACCCATGCTTAGATTTCGTCAGCAACCAACGCTTTGGGGCTGATGCAACTTCACAAATAAGTGAAGCAGTCAACACACTCTACGATTTCACTCCTTAATATTTCTAAGCTAGGAGTCAATGTAGTCCAGTCCTGTAGCATCATCTTACATTTGACAGCAGGAGCGAATCGCATGCCAAGCATTCGAAGATTGCTGCTCCTCAAGGTGTTCAGAAGACTCTGCTCTATTTTGTCAGCATTTTCACCTAGAAAGAATAAATCGTCTGCATATTCTAAGTCAACGAGACTATTCCCTGATGGTAACAAGTCAATCTCCGCGTCACTGAAGTCAGTTAACGTTAAGTCCATTAGTACAATATCTGTGATGAAATTAAGCAGAAATTGGGATAGTGGGCATCCCGACGGACACTACTGATTCTCATCACAGTTGTCACATGACAGTTCTCTGTAAGCACTCTTACTTGGCGGCTGCATGGGTTCAAGTAGAGTGCCTTCGCATCAGTGCAGGGTATTTTCTCGGCATTCCCTCCCTTCACAGCCACACATCGCCATAGTACCTCTCGGTCGACAGAATCGAATTCCGCCTTTAGGTCAAGAAATATAACGATGGTTGGACGCCAGCGGTAATTATACCTAGGTTCTAGACTATCTAGTTTACTGATCGGTAGGAAGCCCCGTAAAGAGGGAAGGTTGAAGGTGTGAGGCTACCGATTCCCAACCCCACCCCCCACGCGTAAATACAATACCACACAGTCACTGAAACTTTAAGGCGTGCAACCCTCCGTTTCACCATTCCGAATACAAGAAATGGGGGGAAACCACATTAACCAGTTAACTCACCTGTGTTTCACGTAGTTCACTATCCTTTTCATACAGTAGACGGATTATTTCCTTTTCCGAATGATTAAAATTCTAACAAATATACAGAATAAAGAATAAAAATATGTAGATACAATGATTAAGGATGAAGTATTTGATTAAGTATTTCTTTTAATATCTGGAAGTTTAGACAATTGGACCATATTATTTTTTTTATTTAAACGCATAAAAAAACTTGGTACAATATGGCACCAAGAAGATGCGCCACACAATAATAATAAAACAATATAGATTAAAAGTAAAAATATAGATGGAGGAGAAGAACTTAATCTGGAAGGAAAGCAGTCACACTTAACAAGTTCAAACAGTATTCGTCAACTATCATCAGGAAGGGAAGAAAGAAGGAAATTTCATCACCTTCACCATGGATGACTACGATTCTTGGCCATATCGGATAACGTTTCGAGCCATCAATTCGAGCTTTCTCTCGGACTCCAACCAGGGAGTCATGACGCACCAACCGATGCTAACCTACCACAAATACCCTTCATCCCACGACGCCACGTCATGGACTGACCACCTCCCCACCTTTTCCATCCCGTCCCAGGGCTGGCTAGCAAACAGAGACTATACAGAAGCCTCTGGGATGACATTCTCAGCACTTGTCCAAGCCATCGAAGCCGGTGTTTCCAGATGACGACACTCAACGAATGGTGATCTCCACTGTGTTCAAACACACGCCGCCAAACCTCAGAATTACTCACGCGATGATGCCATCAAACACAGGCAATCCTGCGGAGACAGCGATGATTGAACACGCAGAGTCGCCGCACATCCTCAGCTCGGAGAAGCCAGGTCGCACAGGCGTAAAGCAAGACAGCCCGCACCAAAGCATTGTATACCCGACCTTTGACAGCCAGACTAACGTCGAGACGACGCCAGAGGTGGCTAAAGTTGCTACCTAGCCTTCATTATACGTTGGAAGTCTCAATCGTCACCCATCCACTAGCACTCACACAACTACCCAGATACACAAACTTATCGACAACTTCAAGCGGTCCACCTGCAAGAATGAGTGAAGGTACATGTTCTTGCCAATCTTGTAACAGTACTTTGCGCATAGGCAGCGCAAAACATATACCATACTTACAGACGCTGATCGCCAACTGATTAAATGCGATTTGGGCAGTCTGCACATTATGGCACGGTAAGATGATACCGTCTGCGCACTCGAGGTCGAAAAGTCTATCTCCAGGTAGCAGATCGACACCACCTTCACGTACATCCTTCAGAGCTGACTCCAGAATGTCATTGATGGCAAAGTTAAAGAGAAATGGAGAGATAGGGCAACCCTGTCTAACACCCGCCCCTGTTGGTTGGGAACAATTGGGCAATTTATCTAGCTCATTCGACAAACAATCTAACTCTGGACAATTTGCCTTATATTAACAGTTTTCGATAACCAGTTGCTTTGCATGTGGGTGTAACATAAAAGCCGGTGGTAATGAAAAGCGAATTCACACTGTGGTACTAAAATTCCACCTAAGACAAACTGCGCCTTCATCAATCTAAAATCAGTTTGGAAATTTTCTGCTGTCACTCAGTCAGCATAAAGAACATGATTCGAATTTTCAACACAAATATTGAGTCAGTCTGTTTTTCTCTACAGGTGGAAAACTTGGTGTCTGCGTCACAAAAAGCATTTCCAACAGGTTGTGAACTTTTATGAACAGCTGCCCGCCTCGCTGGCTCCATACTGAAGATCAAATAGCCAGTCATAAAGAATTAGCAGCAAGAAACTCTGCAGTGGAATAAACCACCGAAGAACCTATCGTTCAAAAAATATGAGGTAACCGTAGAATGATATCGCGCACCAGGCCATCGCTCAAGTGGAACCTGAATGAGAAGCGGCAAGTGGGATATTGGTACGAGGGTGACATGGAGGAGATCGTGTGAATTCTAGGAGATGAGAGACTATGGGCAATCGTGAGCCCAGATAAAGAGGACAACAGAAAATAGAACAAAGTAGACATGTGCTGTTGAAGCCGTATATTGGAGTCAGAACCCAAGAGAACAAAAATAATAATAATAATCGCTAACAATAGTTTACTCAAAAGTAAAACTGCCTTGCACACGGTGCTTTAACCCCCGCTAGAGAAGTTAAATGTACACAAATTGATTGTAGCACGAAACTTTGTAAAGTTACTAGACATGGTAGATAGATCTAAAATTCAACAGAAATTTGACCACATCTTGATACGAACAGCAGAATAACTGTATTCACCGAAATTACATCGACTGAGATGGTTAGGACATGTGTTACGTATGCCTAGTCATCACCTTCCTCGATGACGGTCAATGTTAACTGATATAGGGTCAGGCTGGAAAAGAGCTAGCCAGTCGGGGTCAAACCAAAACATGGCTTCATCAGTCAATGAAATCCACAACAGTTAGTTTACGCCAGCCACGTAAGAAGGTGTAGACTTCTTGGTTGGGGTCCTCGGGACGGTAAAAGCCAATCATGGCTGGAGACAATTGGTGGGTGATATGATTCAAAATCGTTCTCGATGATGGCTGGCGCAGACGCATCCACTCCTTGTGACTTATGATCTCCGCTGAAACTATACTGCTTCTCGTTATTACTATTCTTTTGTTTTACACCTCTGTTTACTGTCTCTATTATCCATATCTTCTACTTTCTTCTCGTGCTTTGTGTGTCACATGGAGTGTGGCGACTTGAACTGCTGCACATCTGTGCAATGTTCTATGTCGAAAACAGACAGACAGATTCACCAAACTCATTCTACTCTCTCTCTCTCTCTCTCGTTTAACGTTAAATCTTATTTTAATGACTGCTTTGCCGCATTTATTCTCTGAAAAGAGTCTTTCCAGAATGCGTGAACTTCATAAAAACTAGTGTTTGAGGTCGGTGGGTTATAAAGATATGCAACAAGGGTCACTGGAATGCAGTAGCTGTCTGTCTGTCTGTTTTCGACATAGAACTTTGCACAAATGTGCGGAAGTTCAAGTCGCCACATTCCGTGTAGCACGCGAAGCAAGAGAAGAAAGTACAAGAAAAGCATAATAGAAACAGTGAGCAGAGGTGTGAGACAAAGGAGTAATAAAGAAATACAAAACAGTTTCATTGAAGATCATAAGTCACAGGGAGTGGATGCATCTGCGCCACTGAGAACGATTTTGAGCCATGTCACCAATTGTTTCCAACCATAGATTTTTACCGTCCCGAGGACCCCAGCCTGGAAGTCTACACCTTTCTACGTGGCTTAGACCAACTGTTGTGGATTTCATTGACTGATGCCAAGTTTTTGTTTGACCGCCGCTAGCTTTTTTCCAGCCTGACCCTATATCCGCTAACATTGCTCGTCGAGGGAGGCGATGGCTTGGCATACGTAACACATGTCCTAACCATCTCAGTCTTTGTAGCTTCACGACTTCGTCGATTGATTTCCCCTGTTTACCTAGAACTCTACGCCTAACCTCCATGTTGCTCACCTTATTATGCCACTTTACACGGGAAATAGAACGCAGGCACCTATGATCAAAGACAGCTAGTCTTTTCATGTCTTCCACTCTCAGTGGCCAGGTCTCACAACCATAAAGGAGGACGGAGCGGACTGATGAGCAGTACACCCGCCCTTTGGTCGATAGTCGAACATCTCGTCTACGCCAGAGTCGGCGTAAACTAACAAATGCGAAACGAGCCCCTTGTATTCGTGCTGAGATTTCGTCAGAGATCAGCCCGTTGGGGCTGATGGTACTTCCCAAATAAGTGAAGCGGTCAACGTGCTCTACCACTTCACTTCCTATTTTTAAACTAGGCGTCGATGTAGTCCAGTCCTGTAACATCATCTTGCATTTGGCGGGAGCGAATCGCATGCCAAACATTCGTAGATTGCGGCTCAAGGTGTTTAGAAGACTCTGCATTTCGTCAGCGTCTTCGCCTAGAAGGACTATATCGTCTGCATATTCCAAGTCAACGAGATTATTCCCCGGTAGCAAGTCAATCCCTGAGTCGCTGAAGTCACCTAGGGTTAAGTCCATTAACACATCTATGATGAAGTTGAATAGAAAAGGAGATAATGGGCATCCTTGACGGACACCACTGGTCGTCATCAGTTCAGATGACAGCTCGCCGTAAGCCCTCACCTGGCTGTATGAGTACGAGTAGAGTGCCTTAATCAGTGCAATATATTTTCTCGGAATTCCCTTTACAGCCAAGCATCTCCAGAGAACTTCCCGATCGACAGAGTCGAATGCTGCCTTTAGGTCAAGAAATATAATGACTGTTGGACGCCGGTAGGAATTCCTATGTTCTAGAATCTGTCGGAGGGTGAAGATATGATCAATACACCCTCTTCCTGGTCTAAAGCCTGCCTGGCTCTCTCGTGTTTGTGCTTCCCGAGCACCACTCAGTCTACGCATGATTATTGAGCCTAAGACTTTAGATACTATATTAGTCAAGCTAATCCCTCTGTGATTATCACAGGAAGACTTGTCTCCCTTCTTGTATATGGGGATAATCAGTGACTTACACCAACCCGATGGGACTTCTTCTGATTCCCAGACGCTGCCTAGTACCTCAGTTAATCCGGACAGTAAGCTGTCTCCACCGTACTTAAATACCTCTGGAGTCATTCCATCAGGTCCCGCTGCTTTGCCTAGTTTCAGATTGGTGACAGCTTTAGTAACCTCAGTTAGTGACGGAGGACCTGTGTTTATATCCCATTCAGGGAGGTGTTGGATGCTCGGAAGGTTGAGCGTGGCTGTGGGCAAATTAAACTGCTCCTCATAATGCTCTTTCCAACGATCCAGTCGTCTATCCTGGAGCTAATTATAGTGCCATTTTTTTCCGAGATTGTCTCACTGATGATTTGTCTTCTCCCACCCGTTTCCCTGATGAGTCCAAAGAGTTGCCTGGTGTTGCCTATCCTCGAAGCTTTCTCCATCTCTTTGGCTTTTGTCGCCCACCACTGTTCACGGTCCTTGCGGAGACTTTTCGTAAGTTTCCTCTTGTGCAGCTTTCGCTCCTCATTGAATTCGGAGCTCGCCGGAATAAGTCTTCTAGCATCTATCAGTTCGGATGAGGCGGTGGAGATCCAGTGGTTTTTACTCACCTTTGGGTTTACCTTATTCACAGCTTTTACAGCTGTATCTATGGCTGCCTGGATATTTTTCCAAGCTTCTTCAGGGTGAGCACAGCTGTCGAACACAGATATGTGTTTAGCTAGTTCTTCCTGAAATACGGATTTAGTTTCCTGATCGAGCTGGGGACGTGATGGTTTTACCGCCAGCTGTTTCCTACGTCCGTTCAGTCGTAAGCACACCCGAGCGCGGACCAGTGCATGGTCGGTATCTACGCACGTGTTCCAGAAGGAGCGACAATCTCCTACCGACCCACGCCAACGATAGCTTATTGCTATGTGGTCTATTTGTGTCCAGCGTTGGTTTGATGAAGGGGGTCTCCAAGTCAAACAGTGTCTCTCCTTGTGTTTAAAGTTAGTGCTTACAAGAAACAAATGATTATCAGAGCAGAACTGTAGGAGACGGTCACCGTTGTCGGTTCGCTGGCACGGAGCTCCATAGGTGCCACCGACATCCTTCTCAGATTGACACAATTTCCCTACTTGAGCGTTAAAGTCACCAGCTAGAACGACTATGTCTGAGCGTTTAGCCTTTCCACCAAACTAGACAGCTTTTGGTAGAACTCATCCTTCGTTTCATCTGAACTGCAGTCAGTGGGGGCGTAGGCGGAGATTACGAAAAGGCATCGGCGAGTAGTGCAGTCCTTCCTCCTTCTTACTGATCCGTTCAGGCGGACAGCACACATTCGGCTATCTACCGGGATCCAGTCAAGCAATGTCTTTTCTGCCCTAGTACTCAAAGCTATCCCTACGCCAGCTAATCCTCGTGAACTAGCTGTGGCATCTCCTGACACCCTCAGGGTGAATTTTGCAGATTCAACCTGTTGGCCAGGTGGGGTTAGGTGAATAACCACACTTGGGTCTTGTATGCGTGTTTCTGAAACACAACATACATCAATGGCTCGTGATGCCAGGGTCTTGGCTAGTGATGCTTGTTGTCCTATTTGGCAAAGTGTCCTAACATTAAGAGCTCCTATATGAAATTGGTGGCGCGGCTTTAAGAGGCTGTCGGTGGTGGTTTTTTGGCTTCCATCGTTTTTAGTGGACGCAGAGTGGAGAGGAAGTGGAGAGCTATCAAGTCGAGGAGTTGCATCAGTGGAAGGAAGGCAAGATGATAGAGATGAAGATGAAGACAAAGATGAGTGAGTAATAGAGAGGTTTCGTGTGCATTTCGGATTGTGAGGGCGATTGTTACTTCCCGGCTGCCCACACCGTGGAAGTTGGTTGCGTGACCGCAGAGCCCAGGGGACAACTGCTTGAGGCCGGTCACACGCGGCCTGTTTTTGTTCGTTCTTTTTTGTTTGGTGTGTCTCAGTAGCAGATTTATCACTCCTGCCCTGTGACACGGCAGCAGGAAGCGCGGTCGTTGTTAATCCGGGCCACGGCCGATCCGGCATGAAATTTTGTGATTTTGTATTGGACATGATGTTGGATTGGGTAGCTGCTTTTTGTTTAACCGCTATCCAAACAACCTGCCTGGCATGGTAGTACCTCAAGAGACATAAGTCTCAGCCAGTATAGCTTGAATAGATCATTGCGGTGTTCAAGCCCGACCACCACGTCAAGGTAGCAGCTTTCGGTTGGGTAGCTACTATCTTGAGGGAAGAACACCTGTGAGGAATAAATATTAAAACCAAAAACAGATCACAGACAATCAATATTTGCAATTAATAGTGTTCTCTGAGCTGGTTGGTTTAGTTGCGGAGCTTTCATCGTCCACCTTTCAGGACAACATCCCCCTTCAGCGTAATTTTTAGCACCAAATGAACTTATTTAAATTTTCCATGAGGGATAGAATTGCGTCTCCCGGTAACCATCTTTACATATGTATTGACCATTTTCTATTGACTAGGATCTTAAACTTTCTCGTCACATGATTTACTCTTTATTAGTTGGTATATTTGGTCTATATTAAGATGTTTGTTAATTGCATATTCGTTTGAGTACTAGGCTTCTAGGAATTCCCTGACTGCACTTTTGGTGTTTCCTCTGTCTAAAATTTCGACATTATCCCACCAATCAAACTGATGTTCATAATTATCTATATGCATTGATATGAAAGAGTATATATCATGTCTTTGCATAGCTAATTTGTGTTCCTGGATTCTGATTCTAAAGGGATGCGCCCACTTTGGCCTGTCTAATGTATATTACAGTTCATACAATTTCTTTGGCAGATGGTATTATATCTATATATATATATATATATATATATATATATACGGATCAGAAACTTGTTGGGTCACAAAGAATATTTCCAACAGCCTGTTGCAGACCTTTATCAACCAACAACTGTCTTCGCTGGCTCTATACTGAAGATCAGATGGCCGGGCCGGAAACAATCACCAACAAGAAACTATGGCTGGGAACAAACAAAACAAGAACCAATCGCCAACCAACAAATATGCAGGAGAAAGTGGAGATGGATTGGACACACGTTCGTTGAGGAGGCCGCTGGGTGACATCGCGCGCGCATCAGGCCATTGCTCGAGTGGAACCAGGCCGAAAGGGAATCACGCGGCGAGTGGGACATCAGTGCAAGGGTGACATGGAGGAGATCGTGTGAAGAGGAGTTGAAACAGTCAGTGGGGACTAACATGAATGGATGCAGGTGAAAAGTACAGCAGAAGCAGACAGAAGCAAGTGGAGACGTGCTGTTGAAGCCCTATGTTCCACTAGGAGTCCAAGGGAACAATAATAATACAATATAATATATGTACATGCAAAATGTTTCACTTGAAAATTGTAAGAGACCTACAGATAGATCACTGCTTTCAGTTGTTCCAGTCTTTGTTTCACACTGAAAACGATCTAAATAAATATTTGAAATAAGACTCCAAGTATTTCGTTCCAAATTGATCATTTCTGTTACACTACGAATATTAGGTAATCTATAAGTAGAATAAAATTATTTTTTTCTAAAACTATGCTTACCCTCTACGATGCGAGAGTTTCGTAAATATCTTAGGTAACCTGCGGACAGTTTTGTAGCAAGCCTCTCCATATTTTATAGGAATTTCTGATAAAGATGTCTGAGAATTTTGCCAAACATTACAAAAATGTGAATAGAGACTAGATCCATCTACATAAAAGCCATAAATATATATATATAGCTGGTAAAATACCGAAAATTTCTGGCTCTTCATCCATCAACTGTGTAGTGTTGGCGGTCTTTTTGAAGTCATTGTTTACCTATATAATTATAGTGGGTCAGATTGACTCAAGAAAACTTACTTCAGACCAAGAATTCATTAAGCTAACTCTAGTCGTTTTGCTCGTCTATGTAGAAAAGAAAATAGAAAGAAGACGATTATTCTTACATTAAAATACCAACAGAAAATTAAACTCAATTCATATGAAGATATTCGGTGGTTTTTACATTACGATTTCAACTTAATTAAATCATTCTAGTAAATAAAAAGTACCAAAACATGCTAAGACACTTCTGTGAGAGCTACTCAATTGATTTACCTTTTGTTCAACAGATCAAGTTACTAAAGCAAAGGCTTTTGCTGACATATAAACACGGACCTTCGGATTTAAAACTTATTAACATGACGTCATCAACTCTAGGAAGATAAATAACAACTGAACACATGAAGTGATTAAACATCCTTAGCCAGCTTTGACAGAATTTCCGAAAGAAAGTGTTAAAAATCTGCATTAGGACAGTGTAATTGACCTAGATTCGCGTGTATTACCAGTACTTCTTTAAAACGATTGAGATTATCATCAATCCCACTGTTGGATGTAAAAACCTATTAACATTCAAGTAATGGCCTTCTGCGTTGAATTATCAATGTAACAGTGCACAAAAGTGTACCAGTTCGCGGACTTCATGAAATACGAAATGCACAGAAACTACACAAAAGGGAAATGTACACAGGAAAAGATGAGGGTCCAATGAACCTGAGAGTACATCTTCACCACTGAGAACGGTTTTGAACTGTGTCACCAAGTCTCCAACCATGGGTTTTCTGCATTCCGTGTACCCTAACCTACTTGGCTCAAACCAAAAGTTAGACATTACGGACTGATGTCATGTCATGGTATGAGGCATTCTCTTCCAAACTAATCCTATTTCAGTTACCACGGCTCAACAAGGAAAGCGATGGCTTGCCAAACGCAACACGCGTCAGTCATCACAGTCGATGCAGATTTGAATATTCATAAACTGTCTCTTCTTCCCTACGTAATATTTTACTCAATACCGACATTATTCCACCTAGGAAGAGAAACAGAACGTTAACACTCAGGGTCAAATACGAATGGTCTACTGATATCTTCCACTTTCAATGGAGCATACCATCTACAAATCCCTTTTCACATATTTAAAAAAAATTTAATCGTACATGATGCAGATGCTGTGGCTACTATTCACAAGTTGCTCAATTAATGTACTTCTTGAATGTTAGAAAATTTAATCGGTTAAATATGGTAAAAGACATAAGGTTTAAAAAGATGTAACCTCATAGGACAATTCAGCGTACTTTAAAGAACTGAACCAGAATACAAAACGGATCTCAAAACATTATGATCTCTAATCATCTTGTTACCAATTTTACGACATTTGTTATTTCCTTTAATTCCTAGAGGAACATAGGGCTTCAGCTAAACGTCTCCATTGCGTTCGGTTTTCTGCCAACGTTTTCACCCCGCTCCAAGTCTGCCCACATGCTTTTATCTCCTCTTCACATGACCTCCTCCAAGTCACCTTTGGATGACCAACTCGCCGATTCCCTTTCGGGTTCCACTCGAGCAATGGATTGTCTGTTGATGTCACTTGATGGTTTCCTCAGAGGATGGCCAATCCATCTCCATTTCTTCCTACCTGTTTGCTTCACAATGTTTCCCTGGTTGGTTCGCTCATTGCCAGAGATCACTGTTGCTGATCTTTTCTGGCTGGCCATCTGATCTTCAGAAATGAGCCAAGACAGCTGTTGGTGATGGTCTGGGGTTTGTCTGAGATGCTCTTTATGACACGCCAAGTCTCTGATCCATATAGTAGCAATGACTTTACAACGGAGTTGAAAATCCGGATCTTATTTTTGATGCTGAGTGCTGTTGTCCTCCACAAAGACTTAAGAGTAATGAAAGCTTGTCTTGCTTTTCCGATCCACGCTGCTTTGATATCCTCGTCAGTTCCGTCCGCCTATAGTTGAAACGATGCTTCCTAAGTAGGTAGGTAGGTAGGTAGGTAAAGGAGGTTGTTTCTTTCAGGTTCCTCCCATTTATGCCGGCTGATTGCTGTCTGTTGTTGTTGCTGTTGGTGTTTCCCAGGAATCTTCATCACCTCTGTTTTCTCTAAGTTCACCTGAGGGGGGTTCTATCTTCTCTGGATGCTTCTCCTGTCAACTTGTTGCTTTTCACTTGCATATGTCCTCCAGTTTGTGGGAAATCAGACATATATCATCATCGGTGAAGTCCAGATCCTCCAAGTTTTTTGTGTGAGTCCATTTTGTGCCTGTTTCCTCATGGCCCGTTGTCTGTCGCACTATCCAATCTACTGCAATCAGGAGAATCATTGGCGATAGTAGACAGCATTGCCTCACTCCCATCCTCACTTCGAAGGATTCCGTAAGTTACCTGTTGTGGATTACTTGGCATGCACTGCTGCTTAATTCTGACTAGGTCATTAAGATTAGAGGTAAAATCAATAAAGATGATTGTTATGATTAAACCTCGCCAGCGATTCTTTTGGAAATGGAATTTTCATTCCCTATCAACCCACCTCTTTACAAATTCTTCCGAAAAGAAAATGTACCTAATGATCTGCATTATTAGTACTGTGGTAACTTAACAAGAGTAATTAGACCTCTACAGTTGTAGATATTACTTAGTAGACCATAAAGGATATGTTCAAAATTGTCATACGCAGAGACCATTATACAATTTACTTCGGATATTAACACGCCAAAAACATACTAACTAGACCTAGTATTGCAAGTAAAGTCAAACACACGGAGAGTACATTCGTGTTGTTTTCCGCAGTGTGCTGAATAACAACTTAAAACAGTAACACGCACGTACACCATAGAGAATATATCATTCTAACTCCATAGAGATCAAGTTATACTATAGACCTGCATTGCGTAGATGATAAAAGAGAGACCATCCAACTGAAAATAGTAAAAAAATAGGTGAACAGCAGACGAATTTTAGCTACATAACGTGATTCTTTTTACTTTGACTAAAATCTGACCAATGTTAAACAATTTTGACCATTATTCAACCAATATCTTGCCAAAATTTAAAAGATATCTTTAATTGTTCAGCCGCCAATTCCTCATTTTAACCATTATTTAAGAAATGTTTTCCTCTTTATGCCACCATATAACTAGGATTTTTTCCACCACATCGCCATCCTTACCATTTGTCTAAAGTGTCTACTTTAAGCTCTATTTAACCACTCGTCATACACTTTTGTGCGACCAGGCAATATGACAACAACAGGATGAGAAATATATTGCGATGTATGTACCCGGAAACTTAGGAGGCATGAAGCATCACGACAAAAATGATTAACAAGAACAGTCACTAAGATGTATCTACATGCAATGCGCCCGAACAAAATGCTAGCTGGGCACATTCCAGCTAAGTGATACTACCATTGTATTTTTATTTGAATCTCAAAAGACAAAAACTGCATGAAAAATCAAACAGTAAAACACCCTTCATATATTCCAAGTAAGGGTCAGTGTGAATGACTAAATTTTCACAATGATATTCGCGCACTCGAGTGTCCTGGAGCTGACCTTGACATTGAATTGCTTTCTGACTGGTTGGGCACTGATCAATGAAAACAACAACAGGTTAGAAATCCATAAAGCTGTAACCCTAAAAGTAAAAATCTGATTGTAAAACTTGCCATTTAATTTGTAGTGTAGGCTTGTTCAACGAAATTAGTGAGATGAGCTTTGTATTTGTCATCTTAAAGAGTTGACTTGTTCAGATATGTTTCAGACTCAGATATATTCATTGTGGATAGAAGGCTTGGAGCCTATTTTAATCCTTTCCGAGTAATTTTCTGTGGTTGTCTGAGCCACTCTTGAGTGAATCAGTTGAGGTTGCAGACAACACTTCTGGGAGTCTGTTCCAAGATTTTATGACTCGGTTTGAGAACCAATACTCCACAGCAATATGATTTCTTCTTGGCTTTTGAACCCTCTTGCTATGTCCTCTAAGGCGTTCCGACCAGGTGGGAAGAAAGAGGTCAGGTCTGTAGGCATTATATAAAATTCTAAACATTGTAATTAAATCTCCTCTCTGTCTAAGGCATGTCATGGAGAAGAGATTTCCTCGCATGATAAGTTAGTCATGCCGAGAGCCATACGTGTTGCTTTCCTTTGAACCCTCTCTAGAATATGTGACTCCCCATTAAAACAAGGACTGGCGGTCTGGATGCAGTTTTCCAGTCTTGACTTCATCAGAGATGTAAATAAGGGGTGAACATGTCTCTGGTGATTCTGGTAAAGGCTCTGCTTGTCGTCCATAGGGAACTACGTGTCGCAACTGCGCGACAGTGTGGTGTAGTTTTTAAGTCGTGGCTGGCTATGACACCTAAATCCAAATGAGACTGAACTAATGAGAGTGTCACGGCAAATAATTCCCCAAAATTATTGACCACGGCACTCATCACTGAACATTGGATGCTGACCCTCACAGTTTAAGTCGATTTGTTTAGCTGAAGGCTTCTGGTTAAGCATCCACCCCATTCAGTACTCTGTCGTGTCACGTTCGCCCACTATCATCAGCCTAAAATATTTATTTTCGAGTACACACGCACAAAAATAAATACAATAATACGAAAAATCAATAGAAAAATAAGTACAAAATAATGATCCCTAAATGACATAGGTAACAGTCAGCCACGTCTCGTAAACCGTTAATGCCCAGCTTTTGCTACGCTTGGGCTCACGCTGTCCCTTGAAGTTTCTCAGAAACACTTAGTTATAACGGACGAAGAAACCAAAACACCAATTGTTGACTCGAGGATTCTTTATTGTTACACCAACATATAAAAATGTTTCCACTAAGGTCTGTGAACAAATATTACAATAATAAATCACAATATTACTTCTGACGGTTTACTGCTGACTTCTTTCTGAACAGCGACCGATGAGACGATCACTGTCGTATTGATGCCTCCGCGAAAATTGGGGAAGTTGGTTTTGAGCAAACAACCATGAATTGATCGTTCAATCTTCAACTCCATTGACACTCCCCGGCAAAATAGGGATCCATCCCTTTTTTCCATCACGACCAATACACGTTGACTTGGATGCAATTGCGAGAACCTGGGTCACACGGACAGAGCTGAAATGGAAAACAAACAGAAAAGCCAACACACCACAAGCATACTCACAGCACAATCTCACACATCGCTGACGACCTGCGCCTCCAGACAGAGACCTCCTCTTGACATCTTGCAACACAATCGCCACTTGCTAGAATGACTCTTGCAGAATGCAACGTGACCATAGCACCAACTCATGATACTCTACGCACATCCTCTTATCTACTCACTACCAATTACCACTGCAATCGCTTGTCACTCATTCTGCCTCAGTTCTAGTAGCGGCGACGCATGCGAGCCTCAGTCGTTTACACTCTTTCTCCCCGGCGTGTCGGACCGCAGCTAACAATTATCTCCGTGTGCATTTCATTCTCAGCAATAGCCTAGCCTCCCCGGCGTATACGCCCCATCTGCTGTCCTTAACATCAATCAATTCATTCACGGATGTAGAAGACTCGAAACGACTTCAGAAGTAATCACGACGAAAATTTTAACAAAATTACGCAATAACAACAAGGTACGGAAACAACGAGTAAACACAATGAATCCAAAAAACACCGATTGATATGACACACCACACATATATACAAACAGTACACGCAAACTCGCGGATCATGTCTTGGTGGAATTCCTTTGAAGAATTGCAGGACTTACACCAGTACGCCTACAACCCTTCAGAGTTTGACGATTGTAATTTGTGGAGTGTCCGGACACACACAAGATTAACCAACAATTACAATAATTGGAACTCACACAATTATTTAACACAAACAAATGTACAATCAACACATCAAATGCTGTGGATTCTGGCACGACAAACTTCCCTTGAAGATCTGTAGGACTTACAGCAGGACGCCTACATTCCCTCTCAGGTTGATGATCCAAGTGGAAGTCATCCGGACACAAACAGAATTACTAACAGCTAGATGACAGATGATATCAATTCAGTATATACAATATGAACATATGTAAAAAACAACACACCAAGCACATTGGACTGCTCATTGATGCGCTACCCTTTGAAGAATTGTAGACTTTAAAGCACTACGCCTACAACCCTTCTCAGACGGACGCCATAGGTTGGAAAATCGTCGCAGAGTTCATTTGCTGACTTCCTCTATCAGCTATATCCTCAAATCTGAACGGCAACTCGCTCATGTCATTGTATCGTAGAATATAGATGACGAACAAACATACGACGTATCTGGTCAACCAAGCGTAGAAACAGAGTAATTTACACCAAAGATAAAAGCATTCAAATAGTAACTTGAAACTAGAAATGCCTTTATTCATGCAAGTCAATTCAACAATTACTCTCTCGTTTACACTTGGCTTATCCTCTCTAAACTGAGCAATACCCTTCGTCCTTTCAAATGCACCAATACCATCATAGTCATTGCACAAGATACTTGAGTTGATGGGCGTCTTTCGCATTGTGGATGACAA